GACAAAGTTTCGCTATTGTTTGGGTATCCACACGCCTCCATGTTATATAAGAAGAATGGAAAATGAATCATGGACTCAAAACTAATTCAATTTACTCATCAAATATCATAACAAAATATATTTTTAGGAACGTTTATTTCAAAACACATGCAAAAAAGTGCTCCGAAACATATAGGCAGGACATATGGGAGTGCTTTTTAATAAAGCACTCTCAAAGGACATGACATATAGGAATGCTTTATTAAAAAGCACTCTTATAAGTTTCTAAAAAAAAATTAAAAAATAGTAACCTATAAACACTCCTATAGATTTATAAAAAAAATTAAAAAAAATAATCATTTATAAAAGCGCTTTATACTAAAGCATTCCTATAAATTCTTTAAAAAAATTTATAAAATAATAACCTATAGAAACACTTTTAACAAAAACACTCCTATATTTACCTATAAGAACGCTTATGCCGTGAGTGCTCCTATAAGTTCCTTTAGGAGGGCTTATATTATAAGCGCTCCTAAAGGCTTATCATTTTAAAAGAAAAAATTTTAGTCAGTAACACAGATTTTGGGTGACACACTCAAGTCAACACCATTTTCTCTCAAAACCCTTGTAGCTTCGTCTCTCCCTTCCTGCCATCGCCCACTGCTAGTGACGTCGTCCTCGCCTTCCATAGCTACTACCGCAGTCGTTCCTATCGCTATCGACCGCCGTACGTGTCACCAACAGCTGCTTCACGTTGTAAAACGCGTTCGGCCATCCGTCCCTGTTTGAAATTGCATTAGAATCATTATGTTCAATTGCCGCAATTGCACGAGAATCTTCTGCTTACTGGAATCTTTTGTGCGCCGGAATCTTCTGCTAGGTTGCGTCACTGAAATCTGAAACATTTGCCATCATTAGTTGCTGCCGTCCGAAATTACTTGCGAGGTTAGTTGTAAATTTTTTAAAAATTATATAATTATATAGTGATTTTAATAAGTTGTTATATATATTACTAATAATAATATAGGTTTGATGATAATACTCTATGACTTTGTTTTTTCAGACATTAAATTGCTCTCTTGTTGGCTAAAATTGAACTTGAAGTTAATTATAATTGTTATATGATTGAGTTGTTATGTAAATAAATTTGGATGTGCTTATATTGAAATTTACTTTATGTTAGTTAAGTGCTATATGTTGAATTGTTTGATAGATATTTGTTACATTATGCTATAAATTTTTTTTTATGAATTGATATATTGAATTATTGAATTTGATTATTTGGGATGTGTCACTTTTAGGGGGGATTCTACCGAATTTTAAAAAATATATTCTAAATTTTTTATCTTTGTTTTTTGAATTTTTATAATTATGTTAGTGATATGGATCGTAATGTATGTCGACTAATCGATTGTCTAAAGAATATTGAGATGGAGTAGATGAGTTCATTGAGTTTGCATTTTCTCATAATCAAGACCCCTGTGAAGTCATATGCCCTTGTTTAAAATGTTGCTATGGAAGACAAGTAAAACGAATAGAATTATAAGATCATTTATTATGTAATGAGATTGATCCAACTTACACCTATTGGACCATGCATGGAGAGACAAGGAATTATGCCAGTGATTAGAGGGATAATGTGAGCTACACATCATTTAATTGTGATAGTGGGATAGATTATGTTAACCATCTTGACGAGATAATTGATATAGTTAAAGAGGATCTTAAGGATTGTCTTGAGATGTTTGAGAGATTGAAGAGTAATGCGAATAAACCATCGTACCCCAGTAGCAAAAAGTTCACAAAATTGTCAGTTGTTTTGAAATTATACAAATTAAAAGTGGCTAATGGATGGAGTGATAAGAGTTTCACAGATTTACTTGAACTTTTGTATGAGATGTTGCCAGAGTACAATGAGCTTCAACCTAATACTTACGAAGCTAAAAAGGTGCTATTTTTTATTGGGATAAATTATGAGAAGATACATACATATCCCAATGATTGTGTCCTCTTTTGAAATACGTATTCAATTTTAGATAATTGTCTAAAATGTGATGCGTCACGGTACAAGAGAAATGGGTGTAGTCTGACAAAAGCATTATGTTATTTTCCAATCATATGAAGATTCAAATGCCTGTACAATATTGCAGAAGATGCCAAGCACTTAACATGGCATGTTGATGAGAGAATTAAATATGGCAAGCTATGGCATCCTGTAAATTCTCCTCAATAAAAAAGTTTGATTTTATGTATCCCGAGTTTGGGGATGAAGATAAAAACTTGCACCTTAATTTAGACACTGATAAAATGAACCCTCATGGTATGCAAAGTAGTACTCATAGTACATGATCGATAATTTTGATGATCTATAACTTCTTTCCATGGTTATGCATGAAATATAAATTTATAATGCAGTCATTGTTAATTTTTAGGCCTCAACAACCAAGAAATGATATAGATGTGTATTTAATTTCGTTGATTGAAGATTTGAAACTATTGTGGGAGACAAGTGTGGAGTTATATGATAGGCACAGGGAGGAACGATTCATCATGCAAGTTATGTTGTTTGGCACTATAAATGACTTTCTTGCCTATAAAAACCTATCAGGATATAGTATCAAAGGGCGAGATGCATGCCTTGTATGTAAAGAGTACACTTGTTTTAGTGCGATTGGAACATTGTAGGAAAAACATCTTTATGAGTCATCGATTTTTTGCCTCAAGTATATCATTATCGACAGTTGAAAAAGGCCTTCAATAGCCACTCAAAGAAGGGTAGAGTTCCTTTGCCTTTAACTAGTGAGCAACTCTTTGAAAAGGTTAAAGATTTAAATATCAAATTTAGAAAACCATTTGCAAATAGGTTTGCTACAAATGGCTGGAAAACAAAGTCCATCTTATTTGAGTTGTCATACTAGAAGTCCCTAGATGTGAAGCATTTCTTTTATACAATGCATATTGAAAAGAATGTTTGTAATAGTCTTAATGGCACATTACTCCACATTTCAAGAAAAAGCAAGAATGGTATTAATACAATGATGGATTTAGTTAGTATGGTTAAGAGAAGAGCTGGCACCAAAGAGCAAGGGAAAATGCAAGAGATGTTTGTATTATTTGCTTATCAAAACATGTTTGGTATGTATATGAATGATTGTTCGATTAATATTTTATGTTTGTTATTCTAAATATGCTGTTTTGGTTTGGTGTAGAATTTTAAAAAATTCTAAAACATCCAAGATATAAGGAAAGCTCTGCCAAATTTTCTTCAAATTTGATATGTAGATCATATCTTGATCTCTAAAATATTAATTAGCTCTATTTTGTCTCTAACATGTTTAGATAATTACATCTTAATTTATTGTTTTTATAGATACCTACAAAAATAAAAAAATGGGAGTGTGGTTACTATATGTTGAAGTTTATAAAAAAAATAATTACACAATAAGAATTGATCATTTTGCTAAATATAAGTGTTTCAAAATTACATTCATGCCTTACATATAACATAAATAATTAACTATATGTTAATTTTTCTTATAGTATTTTGCTGAAGCAAAATCTTTACATTTAACCATGGAGCACATAGAAGATGTAATTGAGGAGTGGTCAAAATATATAATTAGTTGTTTGTCATAGATAACATTTAATGTTAAAAAAATTAAAAGTTTTATTAATTAATTAACTAGACTAGTTAGAGATTGGACAAGGTAGAAATTTGATCTTAGTCTATTTTAATTTTAAGTTCTTTAATTGTATATACTTTTAATGTTTAATTTTATTGTTGCTGGATTATTTTTTATATTATTAATTTGTTATGGAATAACTGTCATTTGTAATGAGCTGCACATGATATGTAAAAATATAAAAAAAAATTAAAAACATATAGGAGCACTCCCAAAACGAAGCCGCACGGGGGGCCTCTTTATAAGAGCTCTCTTGTAAGGGACCATAAAAGAGTTCTCTTCTTTAGAGCACTCCTGTATGACACCATACAGGAGGGCTCTTTCTAAGGGCATTCCTACATACATCTTGCAGGAGCACTTTTTTAAGAGCACTCTCGTATGTTTTAATTTTTTCATTCCATCAAAATAACCCTACAGAGACGCTCTTAATAAAAGCGTTCTCATATACGTGACCTATAAGAGTACTTTGTAAGTGCTCCTGTATATACAGGAGCGTTAGATATGGAAGCGTTTTGAGGCAAAAATAAGCGCTCTCGTAAAGTATTTTTGTAATAGTAAAGCTTTTGCTATTTTTATTTTTGAGGGAGCCCAGAGATTCTAGAAGGGTAAGCTCAAAAGACCAAAGCACTAGATAAATAGATATTGTGAGGAAAAAAGGCCCCCCCCAAAAAAAAAAACTTCATAAACCAAAACAATACAATTGTCTTTCAATTTATCCTTTCTTCATCATGATTCTCATTCCAAATTCAATAGCTTTATGCCAAGAAACACTGATCCACCAATACCAACTTCAATTGTTTCAGAACAAAGCTAAACAATTTTAGAGGGAATAATATTAAGTCTAGTAAGAACAGAACTCTTTCAAATCGTTAAAGCTGAAAACGAATAAGTAGCTGGATATCATGTTTTAGATCAAGCATGCCTAACATTGAGATTTGAGGCCTTCCTCTTTTTTGTTATACATACATACATATGTAGGAAAAATGACACTTAGTCCTTGTACTTTAACAACATATTGTTTTCACTCCATATAGTTAATTTTCAGTCCGTATAATTTAATTTCATAGTTTCTGGTTCCTTTTATTTGCTCCATTGAGATATTAGTTCCTATATTTTGAAAAATATTCAAAAGGATCATGACATGGCGCAAATAATATTAATTTTGTTGTGGTAGATTTAACCCTGTAAGACCCTACCAAAACACTGTAAAACTCATTTAGATGACTAGGAAAAAAACATGCTGACCTGGAAAAAATTATAAATTTTCTGATTAAAAATTTGCTCTAATAAAAAATTAGGAAAAAGAATCACAATTCCTAAAAAATACCTACGCATGAGTGAGACGGAGAAGGGCATCAAAGAAGCATAAGGGCATCGGACCTCAGCAAAATTAATACTGTTTGGGTCAATTCATGATCCTCCTAAACATTTTTCAAAATAAAAGGACAAACATTTCAGACAGAACATGGTTCCTACTATATTTAGGCCCATCATTAAAAAAGGAATTTACAAGCTTACAACTCATGAAAATGTGCCCCAGGATATTAGAGACCATAGCTCCTCTCAATTGAAAAGATCTCTAAAGTGGTCGATTATTGAATATAGACAACTGAGATCAAAATTGTTTTAATCTAAATGGTAGTTTTCTTTTTTATTTGTATGTTATCATTTTTGCTTTTCCATTTTGCTCTCCTTAAAACCCAAAACAAAATGTCATTAAGGGCAACAGAAATGCTTTTGACTGCTCTCATCAAATCTGAACCTTTCAAATTCATAATTGACCACTAAATGGATCGTTGAAATTGAGAGGACCCATAATTGGATATTAGATGTAGAGATCTGCAAGATTAAAATCAAAATCCAGGAATTGACTGCAAAAGAAAAACATGAAAATCCAGGCCCTAACCAAATGGCCACTTCATCGGTTTGCCATGTATGTTAGATATATAGTCCACACATAGGCGCAGGAACTATTCATCAATGGCTGCACAATTAGTACAACAAAGATATTACATTAGTTGAGCAGCTAGAAGAGTTTAATGACTAATATCAAATTGAAAGTTGAAACAGAACAAAAATTTTGAACACAGATGGACCTTGGCTTCTCATATACAAACCTGTAACTGAACTTGAATGAACTTGAATGTCACAAAATCGCAGACAGGCCAAAACATAGCACCGCCAAGAAGTGTTGGAAGCAGATCTCGCTTCAACCTAGCAACTATTTCAGAACCATTTTCACCTGAAATTGACATCAAATTATACATCAGGATTCCAAGATAACTCGGCGGTGAGCCACAAAATGAGAAGGGAGAAACTGTATGAGCAGACTTGAAAAGGCTCCGCTTATAAAAGGCAACCAGTGTGTAGAAATAAGCATTAATGAGACATCTGAATGGAAAGCTGTGAAACAAACCAGAAATGGCTAAATCTATTCATGCAACTATAGCACTGACTCCCATAAACCCATAGGATATAAAAAATATATCTTGATTGATTAAGATCCCTTGCTGGTGAAAGACTATAAAAGCTAGAAGGTTTGTAGATATATGAGAAAGTGGAAAGTGACAACATTTTGGAAGGGGAAGTTTGAATCACCTTGCAGGGCAGAGTTATAGGAGAAGAAAACAGTATTGATGACGGGACCAAATACAGCCTGCCCCATCAAAATTTTCTTCAAGGTTGATGGAACATCTGTCTTGGGAAAGCCTTGGACAAGAAGTTAAACCACATATGTTGCGATGGCCCCAAAATGAACAACGCATATGTTGCCATGCGCATTGTCCTTTTCAAATCATAAGAAGCAGAAGCAGATGGCATTGTAATTGTCTAGCATGCGCAAATCATCAAGTTAGCAAAGGCATAATTACTATGATATATAAGACTGCCAAGAATAAGACAAATAGTGAAAGAATGTTTTCTAATCAGAAAACATAATCCAGGATAATAGACAATTACCTCTGCAATTTGATGAAATATGGAATAATTCAGTTTTTACAACAGTCACCAAGAATGTAGCAAAAGCATTTCAAATAAAGGATACATTTCTTTTCATTTGTTAATGTCAAACAAAAATAGAAGCTTATGTATTTCAAATAGATTACTTAAGCAAATAATCTTGGAATTTAACATTTTCAGAAAGGAAGGCACCAATCCCAGTTGAAACATAAAAGGGGGGAAAAACTTGATACAGAAACTGGTAGCCGCTATCATCTAAAACTTAAGCATACTGGAAACAAGTCTTATCTGCCTCATGTTATACAAGAGAAAAAAGTTTTACACCTCAGCCTCATAGTTGGGATTAAGACCAACCCCTGGCCTGGTCTGGAAAAACAAAAAAACTAGAAACAGAAACTAATAGCCAGTAATCAAAACTTAGGTGGAAACCAATCTTATCTGTCTCATTCTGGAGTGGAGAGAAAAAATTTCAAAGACTGCACATAACAGAGAATATGTAGTTGCGAAGCAAAGGAAAACCAAACTAATTTAAAGAAAATCTGAGATTATTGAAATCCAAAGAGAAGTATTCAATTTCAGTTTGTAAGAATAACAAGAAGAGAAAAGCAATCAAATTATACAGTCACAGGCTCAATGAATATTATGAATGGAAACAGGTTTGAATGTTAAAAAAGAATTGCATTATTGATCTGAAGACAATAGTAGTTTCATAAATCTACTCCAGACACTTGCAAGAAATAGTGGAGAGAAAGACATAGCATGTGAAAACAGACCTGATTTTGAAATGCGCGCCCAAGTGGGTGCTAAACAGGATCAGACTAAAGTAGAATTTCTCCTCAATCTTCGTCCATAAAACTTCTAAGGATAGTAAGGGAGTATAACGCACAAGAAAAACTAGAAAAATCACGAAATGAAATTGGGAATAAAATTAGCTCAAGCCCACAGCCTTAAGGGAAGGGATTGAAGCTTCGATACTGTGATTATTAAACAAATTCTATGCGCAAATAACACCCTCCTAACACACCAAAACGCACATTTGGCTCTAGAGTGAACAAATCACCAACCTACAACAACTCTGCCAGAAACTAATTTAAATGTATAAACAGAACAGTTCAGATTCAACTCAATGTCGGTTAACTAAAAGTTTAGTGCCATTTTAGGGAACCATTTATTTCAAAGCATAAAATGCTTTTAAAAGCTCAAGAAGGGATTTTACATCAAATAATTAATAATACAAGCAGCATTTCACTTTCCACAAATTCACAGCGTTATCACAAAGTACACATATATACAAGTTGAAATTAGCATATCACAACTCCAAAATAAAGAGCAGTGGGAATTTTAAGGATCCAAAACAAAAACCTTTCACCTGCGAAGTCAAGTCAGATGCAACAAAAATGAGTGATGATGTTATGCTCTTTGTAACAAGTGGCTGGGTTTCGAGCTTCCGCAGATACCAACCCACGAACCCAAGCTTCAGAAAAGACGAAGAAGAAGAAGAATTCGAAGAAGTAAACGAAGACGGAGACCGTTTTCTCAGCTGATGATAATATCGAACACACGGTGGGCATTCGCGCCAATTTGCAAAAGAAGGGATTTTGCATACAGCACCGCCATCGAAAACCAATTTTCTATCACGCAGCTGGAGGAAGCAGCGTTTACCGATGTCCCGCATGACGTTTAAGTTGCTCATTGCTACAGATTTTTGTGAACTTGTTCCTATGAGCTATAAGCTTCATGCATGCAATCTTTCGAAAGGTTGAGCTGAAAACTCAAAATTGGACAAACTTTTTTTACGTAAATTCAACATGAAAATCCAATGGCAACCAGGTGCCTAGAGCTTTTCAGGCGCAACCGAGAGAAACATCGAGAATCCGACGAAATTGGAGAAGAGCATGGAGAGTCATTTTTTTGTGTGGGCCGAAGTGAACGGAGGGTCGGCAATTAGATCTTCTATACCTTGCCGCCCGCCTCAAACGACCTGTCGTTCTGCATCTCAAATCTAACAAAAGAAAGGTTGAATTATTAACACAAGTACAGCACATAACGATTAAATTAAATACTACTGTAAGATTTATCAATAACGTAACATTGCAAAGTAATAATATTTAGTTCTCATTTGCTATTTTGAACTGTGAATAAATTTTAATTGATATTATAAGAGACCTAAATAAAATTCTTCTTTTTTGTTTTTAAGAAGGAACACAAAAAAGGTATTTTGCACGAAGTTGTTTAACACATAATTTAAATCATGCATACAACTTAATATTGAAGACCACTATACATGTTATGAGGATTATTTTAAGAAAAATTAATTAATTAATCCATTTAATTTTACCGAGTTTACTAATTTAGTCTCTATATTTTAAAAATATGCAACCCAATCTATATAATTTAAAATACATACAACACAAGTTACACAACCATGTCATTAAAAGTTAAAAGAATGCTTACATGGAATCAAATTATTGTCAAGGAGGGAGGATTAAAATGCCACATCACCTTGCTTCCATGTCACCTTTGCCTAGCCCAAATTTTAACATGAATCACATTATCTTGCACATTTGATAAAATTGATTTTTGATAAGTGGATATTTTACCTAAATTAATATGTATGTATATATATATATATATTGCTCTTTTATTTGTTAATTAATGTGTAAATTGATGAAAATTTGGATAAAAGACTTCAGTTGGTGATTTTGGAGCATTTTCAAGAAAAAAGGAGTGAAAATAATATATAAAAGGCAAAAAATGCTAAGGACCAAATCAAAGCTCAAGAAACAAGCCCAAAAAGAGATGTCCGCTAGCAAACAAATTAAGAAGACAAGTTCTTTGCACATGAACGTAGCAAGTAGGGATGAATAGGCAACTTGCGACCTATAAGACTCACTTGTACCAATTGAAAATGGGCGGGTAAAAACCTGCCCATTTAACAAAAAACATGGGCGAGCGAAAATTACAAGACAATCCATATATTTTCTAAACAGGCAAGACAGGTTATAGGTTAGCTACCAAGCTACTTGTCTCGTCCCGTTTTAATATAAAAAACATATATTCATTTTATTTATTAGGCAACACAGTCAATCACATACGTTGTGTTTTGGCTTTAGCAGAGATTGCAAAAGTTATTGCCAATTTGCCATTTGTGCCAAAATCAAAAACCCTTAATTCCTCACAAATTGCAATCTCGCTCTCCCACTTTAAGTCATCAAGACCTTGTCTTCGTCGTCGCTACTAAAGACTCTTACCTTTCGGCTCTTTGCTAGATGATGCTACCTCATTTTGTCCCTCATCTTAGTCTTACTCTATCATACGCAGTCCGTTTTCATAATTCAAATGATGCATGCTCAGCACTCACTATCACAAGCTCACCACTCATGGCCACTCAATACTCAGCTATTAGCTTTGACTCTATGCTCAGTCAAACTCAATCTTATCTCTGCTTCATCATGCTCATACGTGTCTGCCTGCCAAGCCAAGACCAGGTAAGTTATTAACTTTATAGTGATGATTCTTTGACTTTGCCTCTGCTCTCAACTATGGATTCTACCATTCTAATGACTATATGGTGAATAAGACATTTTCATTTGGCAAAATATCATTTTATGGACTTTGTGGCAATTTAACCTGGCCTATAAATTTGATTTTATATTTGGAAGAATATCAATTTTTTAACATGATATTAGTTTATAAAATATATATTAACTTATGCTAGCTTAGCCTGGTAACCTCTAGCTGCTACAATTTGTGCAATGTGTATGAAAGAAAACTTAATATGCATAAAGTTACTATAGGTTATTATTTGATCTTAATCGCTCATAAGTAATCGTGGAACATGCATAAGTACATTGCTTGATTGAAATTATATGATTGTATTTGTATTATGAAATTATGTGACTGCCTGATTGGAATAATTATGTCTTCTTAATTTTTTAGAATTTAGAAGGATGAGCAACACTCGAACCCCTAAAGCAAATGTGGAAGAAGGTGATATTGAAATTAAAGATATTATAACATCACATAATCTGAAGTTCTATTACATAGACTTGAGCCTAGATTTCAAATCCCTTCACAATGGACAATTGCTAGGAATTGTTACAAGTTGTATCTTGAAGAAGTAAGACATCTAAAGAAATATTTTAAGAAATCTAAAGTTCGTGTGTTCCTTACCACAGATTATTGGACTTCAATCCAAAATGCCAACTACATGTGTTTGACTGCTCATTGGGTTGATGAGAATTGGACATTATAAAAATGGATTTTGAATTTTTTTCTGTAATTGTAAACCACAAAAGAGATACCTTCAAGAAAGAAGTTGAGGGATACTTATTTAGTTGGGGTATTAACAAAGTATTTACTATTACAATTGACAATGCTTCTTCCAATGACACTACAATTGCATATTTAAAAAAATGCTTGAGGAAATGGAATGGTCTTGTGTGTGATAAAGAGTATATTCATTTGCAATGTATTGCTCATATTTTGAATATGATTGTTTCTGAATGACTAAAGGAGATGAATAAGTCCATTGAACTCATTCGACATGCGATAAAATTTGTTAGATCTTCTTTAACAAGGATGCATAGATTCAAAGAGCTCATAGGAAAGAAAATAAATGATTTGAAAAGTCTACTTAGTATGGATTGTCCCACTAGGTAATTTTAATTATTGTTATGAATTGTTAATTGATGTTTATTTTTCTGATATTAATTAAGGTTTTTTTATGTTGTCAGGTGAAATTCAACATACCTTATATTGGAAAATTTGTGAAGTTCATTAAAGTCTTTGATAGGATGAAGGAAGAAGATGAAAATTATAAGAAATAGTTCAAAAAGATAGTTAAAGAAGAACCTCCTAACCCATATGATTGGGGTGTTGCAAAGGATTTTATTGTCTTCTTAAAGTTGTTTTACTCTATGACATTGAAATTTTTTATATCAAATTTTGTGATATCAAACACATGTTTTCAATAGATAGTTGTAATGCAAACCAAGCTTAAGACAAGTGCAACTAATTTTAGTGCTCTATTAGGCAACACGGTGAAAAGAATGCAAAGTCAGTTGGATAAGTATTAAGGTAGTGCTGATAACATGGATTCATTGTTGGTGATAGCAATGATACTAGACCTTAGTTACAAATTTAACTATGTCCCAGTTGCTTTGCAAAACATATATTCTGACCCCATACAACGTGAACCAATCACAAAAAAATATCATGGATGTCTTACATACCTTATATGATGAATATTCAAAGGATGCCTTTGATAGTGAAGCTTCTTAAACTCAAGCAAGAGTTGAACTTAGGGATGAAAATATTGGGAATCAAGAGTTAATTCCTGATGATGATGTCTTGACAGTCATAGATGATAAAACAATGTGACAATTTTATACAATTGCAAGCACTGAATGTCAAGAGGAAAAAAATTCAAAGGTAGATGAATATCTTCACGTTGGGATAGTTGCTTCTCGTGATCTAAAATTTGATGTTTTGGCTTGGTGAAAAGTGAATACTTTCAAATATAAAATCTTGAGTTTGATTGCACGTGATGTGTTGGCTTTACCTGTCTCTACAGTGTCTTTAAAGTCTGCCTTTAGTATGGAAGGTCGAGTACTGGATACTTTTAGGAGCTCTCTATCTGCAAAGATGATTAAGGCACTCATTTGTGCCTAAAGTTGGCTTTCTCAACCTACTTTTAAATTGAAAGAGCTTGACATTGATAATCTTGATAAGTCTAACAATCTTGTTATCACTAAAACATTTTTAGTTTACATTATTTCACATTGTTCAAATATTAATGAATATCATTTTTCTTAATTTGTTTTGTAGAGGAAGACTTAAAAGCTCAACGTTCAACCATCTTAAGTGATTTTGAAGATGATGATGATGATGATGATGATGATCTAATGCAAGATTAAATGTGATTTATTATTTTGAATTATTGCCTTATTGGCTTGTGGCAAGACGATTTGTGTTGGATTATTACTTATGTCTTGTGACAAGACTATTTGTCAATTTATGTGGTTGCTTTGATTAATGTTGTGTTTATTTTAAAGATTGATGTTGATGATGCTTGGGTTGGATGACTGTAATATGCAATGTAACTGTTAATGTTGGAGCTTGTTTCCTTTGATGATTGTGATATTTAAATTGTTTTTGGGTCGAATTAAAAGAATTTAAAAGTGTAGAATTTTTTTTAACAAAGGGGGGTTGTTGCTTAAAACGAGCTGGCTAGCCCACCTAGCCTACTTTTCAAATGGGCTAAAATAGGCTATAAATGGGTATAGGTTGGCCAACTCATTTTAGGAAAATGAGATAGGCTATAGGCAGTCCCATGGGCCAACTCGTCCTGCCTGTTGCATAGCCCTAATAGCAAGCACGAAGAAGAACATTTGCTAGGAGCATATCCGAGTACAAATACAACATGAAAGAAGTACGACTGCAAGCGAACATCTTAAGGCTCAATGTTCACTCACGTACGAAGAAGGTCATAGGAATGGGCCATACAACATTCGACCATGCGCAGACTTGGAGAAGAGAATCTCAATCGTGCATGGATGTAGGAAGAAACATATGGCATCAACAACTTTCATTCGTGCCCAATTCCTTTTATGTAGTTCCTTGCGAGATGACCTTGATTTACTACACTAAGCTAGATCCATACACTCGTGGTATGTTTAAATTTTGTGTGCATCAGTTTTGCATTTATATTTGTAGGTCAAGAAGGAACTAGTTTATATTAATGATGGTTTGGTGGAACCAATTTAAGCTAAAAGAGGCCAATAAACTTTATAGGTAGGCTTGTATGTGAGGAATTGGAGTTTTGGGGAGTTTTTGAAGTATTGAATTGAGAGTTGTAATCTCATTAGTAGTGATATTAATGATGATTTGTTATGATTAATTGTAAATTAATTATTTTTTGGCACCATTCTAGCTTGACAAGAGCTTTGTAAGTAATTGTTTTAAGGGCCAAAACTCTTGACCTCTCAAAAGTTTGAAGTAATTGAGGAAAATTTAGCTTGTGTATTTGCTTGTTAATTAATTATTAGTGTTAATAATATTGTTTGAAAATCTTGTGACAATTATGAACCTTGTTTTGATGGAAGAATATGGCAAATAAATGAGGAGTTATGTGTAATGTGTGTGAACGAAAAGAAAAGTATAATTTTACAATCGTGGTTTGTTGATTATTCAAATGACTCTAATTGTGAAAATGATGATATGTGATAACTTGAGCATGATAGGATTGTGATAAGAACATGTAATTATAACATGATGTGAGTGAGATAGAGCAAGTGATAGATATAATTGCTAAAAGTGCATAATAAGGTTATTAGAGTTTGATATTTGAGAAATGCATGATATGAATTCAATGCTTAAGAATTTGTATAAAATGAATTTGATGAGTAGTATATACTAGAATATACATAAGTTTCATTTGCATGATCACAAGAGGGAGGAATTCATTTATGGAAAGGAGTAAAGATTGAAGTCCATGTGGTAAGGCCGCCATTCGAAACTCGATGGCTTACCTTTATTTATTGATTATTCCACTTATTCTTCGAGGGACCGTTCCACTTATTCAATGAGCGACTCGAACCTAACTAATTCCCACCTGTTCATGAAGAGGCTAGCTTAGGGATAACACACCCCATGGTTGTTAGTATTGAGAGAAACTGTAACTCATAAGTAAGTGTAGTAGTTTTGGTTGGGCAGCTCTTCACAAGTGAAAGGCTTGGGTAGCTTGATCAATTGAATGAATCCAATTAAATAGCTAACAGTTTTATGTTGGAGGTATCAAGAGGTCTGAGAATGGCATTAATCATGTATATTATATTAGGACTATATGGTTGTTATTATTGTGGTCTTGCATAACTTGATAGGGATACATGGTTGTTAATATTATGTTCCATCATGTGAATTAATGATTATTATTGATGTGAGTTTTGATATATGATTATGCTTGATCACATAGTTGTTAGTAGTGTGAGCGTCGTAAAACTTTTGAAAGAAAAGCATAAAACTTGTGAAAGTTGTGTAAATGCTACTTACATCATGATAATTGATTGACATGTATTTGTATAGGTTAGATCAACTTTGATTACTGAGTGATTGTACTCACTCTTTTTTTCAATATTACAGGTATCAGCTCGAGTTACAGTAAAAGGAAAGCACTGGAGGCTTGGGAATATAATTTCTTAATTGTAGGCCTCTAATATTCTATTTTATTATGTGTATTCTTTTATGATATTGTCAACTAGGAACCTTATATTTTGTGATTTCTTGAACTATATGTTGAATTAAGTATTGTATTTTGAGCCTTAGGTTGTAATTGCAATTGATCATGACATTTAGACAGGGCTAAAATATTAGTGTAAGTAAGATAATTATATAAATGCATGATTAAAGTGAATATTATGATGATTTATGAGTATTTGTCTTCCCCTTATATTTTTGTTATCAAAGGGTTGAGAATTAAAAATGTGCCATATGTGATATGGTATTGTTATGGTATATTGCATAGGTATCCTTTAGTCTATTGGATGTGATTAAATGGTAATTGTGAGTTTATGACACTTGGTAGGAATTTTAAACACCCTAGTTGTATTTTAAAGGCAAAGAGGAGTGCGTTTGCAAATGGGTGAGACCAGTGCCATTAACTAAGATCTAAAAGAGTTTTTTATAAACATTTAAATCACTTCAATCGAACATTTAACGATAATTTAAGATGCGTCTTTCATCCTTGTTGTTGTCAAATGAGAGTAACAATACTATCAAACCTGTACAATGTGCTGTGACATATGGTGTCTATAAATATAAAATTTCCAGAAATAAATCTTTATTTGATTGGTTAGTAGTAGGAAAATAAACGAAAATATACTTAAATGAAAAATATCAAAATAACTTAATTAAAATATTTCATATTGTGAAAAGAAGGCTCCACATTACACACACATACACATATTGTTTTGTCCATAAATCACTTTCAACTTTTTCAAATTTATTAAATCCTTCTAAAAATAAAATACTTATAATTTAATAATGTAATTTTTTTTCTTATTAATATGTAAGAAAAAGAAGGCTCCACGTGGGATTCGGGTCTTCCTTTTTTTTTTTTCTTTTTTTTTAATACTAGGATTTGGGTCAATTAACCATTTCTGATTGCACTTGAGGCTATTTGTTATTCACGAAAATGCGAAACTATACCCAACCAATTGCAATTTGATACCCGTTAAAGGCACTGTTTCCCTCACATCCGTATTTTCTCTCCTTATCGTCGTTGATAATGCTGGCTTCGCAATCTTATCTTCTGAACACCGTTTATGTAAAAGGTGTCATTCTTTTTTTTTTTTAATTCTTGTTTTCATTCTTTGTGGATTTTCCTAGTGGTCGTCTTCTTACTTCCATCTCCTCTGTTTCTGTGTTCCAATTTTGCAGGATTCAAACCTTCTATATATAAGCGAACCAGTTTCAATGTTTCTGTAAGTATCTTCCGCTCCCCGTTTTGTGTTCTTTAATTTGAAAATTCTGCGCAGCTTTTCTTCTATCCCGTAGTAATTATCCAGAAAATTCAAATGGGAATGCTTCGAATAGCTGAATTTAGCTTGGTCACTTTAATTTTGCTATTTCGTGGCTTCAATTGATTTTCTCATTTTGCTCTTATCTTAAATTTGAGTAGTTGTTAATCATGATAAACAAAGGGGAAATACATTTGGGAAAAGGAAACCTAACCAAATGCTAACGAGAAAAATATAAGGTTTTAAACACGCATGCTTGTACCAATGTTTAGACAACAAGTTCGTATTCCAGATTTTAAGAATAATTTGGTTTTCCACGTCACCCATGCTTGAGTAAAATGAATTCTTGGTTCCAAAGGTTAAGTATAATTGTCTCATTTCAGTCCTTCAAAGATTATTTTTATTTGAAAATTGTCCTCGGTGAACACTAATAACGGCTAAGGTTCAGTATCTAAGTTTTAATCCTATATTGGTACTAAGCAGTAGATTATCTAATTTCAAACGTTTAATACTGTATATTTAATTTTGATTTCCGATGCTTAGTTGCATCCTTCTTGAAATATAACTAAATTGGAGGAACTCTGAATATTATTTTGAGATAAAATTTTACATGTCAGGATTGTTCTTGCATGTAAATTTCAGAATCTCTTAGCCTGTATTATTTCTGTATTGCAATGGGATTTCTGAAACATATTTTCTATTTAAATGTTGGATAGGTTCACAGACGTTCCAAAAGATACTGTGTATGACCTAAGTTCAATTTATCTTCTAAATATAACATTCGGGTGATTTTGTTTTAGTTCAATTTATTATTTATAATGTCTGAATTGTTTATTAGTCCATCTCTCTCTCTCTCTCTCTCTCTCTACATTTTTGGGAAGCTATGAAATCCGAATGCAGAATAATTACAGAGTTAGCAAACTTGATTTCTTTAGTTTTCTATAATTCTGAGTGCAACTTGACATTCGTCCATATCTGATTCATGAAACTAGCAGGAACTGGCATTCTATTCTTCTAATTTACATTTAAACCGACATTTACATTTCCATATGCTAATTGAAGTTGTTTCCATCGAAAAAGAGCTGCTATGTGCTTCTGCTTTGTTTATTTCACCTTCATACCGACTGGTTCCGTTTGCCTTTAACTTGGAGAGTTCAATATAAAGTTGTATTTGGTGCTTAGAGGAGATCATTTATCACTTGCTGCAATTTATGAAATGCACTTTTTTTTTTTAAAACAAGATTTTTTGACCAAATTTTTCCAAACAAGATTGTTGCCAAAAAAATTATGGATACAGTACAAGTTTTCATAACTGATAATCTTTTATGACTTTTTTTTTTTTTTAAATTACATCAAATTCAAATCCTATGGTACATGTAATCTACTGGCTATACTATATATGTCAAGTTGTTAATGGCCATGCCTTATTTAATAGGATATGTCACTTGAGTGAGAATGACATCTGAAATAGAGGAATGTTCTGCTTTTGCACTTACCGGTACTATGTTCTACTTCACCTTATAATCTGACGTTTCAAATGTTGCAGGAAAGATCAAGTTATCTAACGAAGAGACCTGCAAATAGGCGATCTCAAATCTTGCAATGTAGTGCAGGCACTGAATTCTTAACACTGCAATCAGCGGCGACTTCACTGACGGCCTCTTTTGACTCAAATGCAATTTCCGATCCTCTAAAGCAGGCCACAACAGAAATAACACATGCACTTACTCTTGAAAACTTCAACTTTAGGCTGGTTCTTGCAGATTTGGATCCTGCTACTGCAAAGCTAGCAATTGGGTTTTTAGGTCCCTTTCTGTCAGTCTTTGGATTTCTGTTTATCTTGAGGATAGTCATGTCCTGGTACCCCAAGCTTCCTGTGGGCAAGTTCCCATATGTGATAGCTTATGCTCCCACAGAGCCACTTCTTGTTCAGACCCGCAAAGTGATCCCTCCGCTTGCCGGTGTGGACGTGACTCCTGTGGTTTGGTTCGGTTTAATTAGTTTTCTTAATGAAATATTGGTGGGACCTCAAGGGTTGCTTGTTCTTCTTTCTCAGCAAGTCAATTAGCTTACATGTCAGATTTGGGTACATCACCAGATTGTATTCCATTGTTCCTTTGAGGACATCCGATAAAATTGGATCAATCCGGAGATTGTATCCATCAAATTCTTGTCATTGGATGTATATGAGTGTACAAATTTGGCCATTTTGTTGTGCTAGTGGCTTCAGTAGTTAAGTGCTAATGAGATGGTTGAGTGCAGACTAGAGAGTAATCAAAATCCTTTACTTCTAGATTCAGATCTTATGATTCCAGAAATCAACAATGAGTCAATGGTTGAATTAATACCAACAATAGCTCTATATCGTGTAATTCACAATTTAAATATTATGATCTGTACCAAGTTGTAAAGTGGATTATATAAATTGATAACTCTGGCAGAAAGAGATAAAATTTCATGATTGAATTGAATGTAAATTATGCATATCAAGTTAATATGCAATGATAGTATGACTGGGATGTAGAAATATGTGAAAACAACAAATTGCCATGACAGTTATTAAGAGTTTTTATGATGCTTGTGACGAAAGAAAAATAATGATATGTGAGATTTGACATTGTTTTAGGGTCTGGACTAACAATTTTCTACTTTTGAAAAGTATTTTCCCATTTTTGGGATGTGTGAAGTTGTTTGGTAATAATAAATTTTCAGAAGCTCATTTTAAGAAGTTCATTCTAAAATAATGAATGCAAGGGGTAGCTTTTACATTTCCGTTTGAATAATGAATGCACTCAATTCATTCACTAATCACTGCCCATATTACCCCTCTTTAGGCATTTTATATTTTCTTCCCATGGTTGAACACGAACTTTCCTTTAGTCCGCCTACTTCCTAAAAACTGTACGAGTAATATAATAGGACTTTTATTTTTATTTTTTAAAAGATATGATTACAGAGCTCTTCAATAATTAATAACCCTTTCATTTAGAAATACGAAGTATTTGTAATTAAATTTTACCCTTCAATAAAATAATTATTTATTTTTAAATCAACACAATCTTTTCATATTTATGGTGCTTCAATCTAAAATAAATATAAAATAATTTATTTATTACAAGTACTTTTTTTTAAAAAGAAGCAATTATTATATCTTAAAATACTAAAAATGCTTTACATTTTTTAATATCTAACTCTTTAAAAAATATCTTATAATTTTTATTAGAGGGAGTATATTATAAATTTGATTTTTTATTTCAAAATTAATTTTGATCTTGATATAATTTAAACTTTATATTTTTTATAGATTCTTTTATTATATATATATTTTACCACATCTATTTTTATATTATTATATATTTTTTAACAAATCAAGTTTTACATAACAAAAAATACATATAATAAAATTTCTGTCCATTTTAGTAATTATACAGATTATTCAAACAATTTTTAATTTTACAAGTTGACTTTTAAAAAAATATATCTAAATACAAATCTTGTCAGAATAACTAACTTTTGATTAATTACATGAGTAATGGTTTAATTTATGAGTTATATATAATAAATATTTTTTGAACTAAGGTTTTAAGGATTTTGAGGTAATCTATTCTAGGGAAAAAGAAAAGAAAAGATCTTTGCAATTTTATAATCAACAAAATTGGTAACTATTCACACATTAAGAAATTTCTTTAATTTTTATTTTCGTAAATCACATTAAGATATTTCTGAAACAATTACTTATTCTGTTTTTATTCGTAGTATATTCTTTTTATTTTATTTTATTTATTTAGAAGATATTTTACAAGTATATAGAAACTCAGACAGCCAAACAAATGAAAAATAGAAGTTGATGCTTTGATTTTAGCATGTTCTTGTAAAGAACTGTGAATGGATAAGCCATGCAAGGTCCCGAAGACACCTTGTGCCATTTTCGAATATATTTTCTTCCCAAGAAGTTGAGGTTTAGACTTCTCTGAGAGGTTACAGAACAAAAAGCTTCTGCAAAATTCCACTCCATTCCTTCCTAACGACCTTCATTCACTCTCTCACTGCAACTACGCATCACAATCCTCTCTCTACAAATGCTAGCACATCCTTCTCTTTCTCATTCATCGTTTCTCGCCACTCATAAACTCCAATCCCCTTCTTTACTATGTCCCAAACAATGCAATTCCTCTTCTCCTTGCTGGTTTCTTCCCCTTTCCCCTCAACCCCACCAAATTTCTGGGACCCATAGGTCCGGCATATGTGCTGCCACCACCGCCGGTGGTGGTGGGGATCTTGAGGTCGATACCTTCACGGCCAAGTCCGGTTATCTCTTCGAGCTCAGTGACTCTGAGGCCGACTCTCTGGCTGAATACAACATATCTAAGATCGCTGCCATTTATAGAAGAAAGCCTTTGATTGTTTTTCGCCGGTTGTTTCAGATAGGAACTGCTTTTGGCAAGTGGTTTGGCCTCCGTTTCATTGACAGTCTGAAGGAGCGGTCTGATGAAATGTTTGAGGTTTGTAAATTTTATTTCGTGCAAAATAATTGGTTAAATTGCAGTACGCTTCTGAAGGAGTTATCGAATTTTCATTATTGCACAGGGATTACATTTTTGAAGCTTATGATTTGCGGGTTAGATTGACAAACACTGAGTGTTTCGTTTTAATTGTTTACTTGTAGGTTAGAGCTGCAGAACTCAGGAAGATATTGGTGGAACTTGGACCGGTATGTCATGTTTTTCAAACTATAATAAAATTTGGGCTTTCTTCTGATTTCCTTTTCCTATAACTTGGTGTCATTCTGATTTTGATCGGTAAAAATATGGGTCCATACTATTTTTCCAAGACTTGTCAAATTACCGTATGACATTGTTCAAGTGGTGTAAATGGGTCAGCTTTATCATTGCAACTTCCAGTTTGTCCAAGCGGTTGTTTCTGCATTTCGTTTTCTTCAAGAAGTTTTCATGAACTTTTTTGGGTTCTTGGATTTTCATCTAGTTTCAATTGAATGATTATAATTCATGAATGTTGGGTTGAGTTAAAAAGTTCATTATAAGTGTCGCCTCTGTTTTCTTTTCTTCGTCCCTTTTCTCTCGCCAAGTTTTGGCTTTGATGTCCCTTCGGGCCATATATGATATATCTGCTATATTCTTTGGCAGCCGGAGAAAGAATTAAGTAAATTTAATTTCCAGAATATTAATCCTCTAAATTTGAAGTCCTCAAACATGGAGCACTGTTTTAGTAAAAACTTCAATGCATTGCTCAATAATCGTCTTAAATTTGTAGATGCCTCTGCATCAATTCACCTCTATTAGTATTTTTATCAAGGTTCTTGTTGTAATGCCCTAACTTTTGTTCTCATGGAATATCTTCTTAAAATTTGGTAGGTCTAATGGGCTTTTTTGTCCTGAAAAGGTTTTTCTCATTAAGACTACACTGCTACGGATGCTAAATTATGTGCAGGAGATTTTTTAGTTTAGTTGCATTGCACAGTCTTTTGTTTATATCATGCCAATCTACTGAAATGTCTATTTTAATTCAGTGTTATCATCTACAATTTCATTTTTTTTGGATAGAAAACAACTTTATTTTATAAATTAAAGTTTGTTGTTACTTTCTTTCAGGCATATATTAAAATTGCCCAGGCTGTATCAACTCGTCCAGTAAGTTGCACGTAACCATGTTGTTATTATTATTATTATTTTTTCAATGTGTTCCTTTTATATGTTGCTGGTCTTTTAATATACTTCCTGCAGCTTTCCTGTTGAATTGTTATTTACTTGGTGATAAAGCTTCTTTTTCTCTTCGGATTCACCTATGCTATTTAAAGCACATGTAACACAGCACACTATACTGTTGGACTTTGTATTAGGATGTTCCTTATTGCTATATATTTTTACTTCTGGCCCTTTTGATCCTCTGTTGTAATGGGCCCATGGCCTAGACAGAGGCGCATGATAATATTTATAACGTGATTGTTATGTCGGTGTTTAATTCAGACATTGGTTTTCTATCTTAGTAATTACTTGAATAAGATATATTAACTTTATTATTCTCAGTTATATTCTATTCTTCATGTCTGTTTTCTTGCTTATTTAGGGGGATGGGAATTTCTTTATGGGTTTGCAGGATATGATCCTGTTTCATTGTAATGGTGACTAACTTTGATATATAAAAATTTTGTGCCTGTAGGATTTGATACCACCGTCGTATTTGGATGAACTTTCATTGTTGCAAGATCGAATAAGCCCATTTTCTACAGAAGTTGCTTTCAGTATGATAGAACAAGAACTTGGTTTACCTATTGATGAACTTTTTTCAGAGATTTCACCTATGCCTGTAGCTGCAGCATCCCTGGGGCAGGTTTATATATTTTGAGTCTTTTATCTTTCTAATGATTTTAGAAGTTTTTGAGTCCTTGATTGATTTTCAAATGTGGCTTTGAAATTCCTGAAAATTGGAACTTCTTTGTGAGAGTAGGTTTATCAAGCCAGGCTTCGCCAAAGGGGACAGGTTGTTGCTGTTAAAGTCCAAAGACCAGGAGTCCAAGCTGCAATTTCCCTTGACATGTTAATATTACGTGCCTTGGCAGGCTTTATTAGGAGAGCTGGCAAATTTAATACTGATCTTCAGGTAGTGTAATGTCTGACTGAGATTAAATGGAAGGAATGTGAAATGTAGTTACATTGATGGCAAAATAATTATCATTGCTATTAATGGCCCTTTCATCCAAGGCTAGTTGATAATCGATTATTTTCTTTTAACTCCATATGGGGCCTCGTGAGAACAATTACTCTTCTCTCTCTCTATGTATTGGGGGGGGGTGTATACTTCTATGCATGTGCGGTACTTTTCCAGTACCATGGTGTGTTTGGTTGCTAAACATGGTATTGTATATGCAGGCTGTTGTTGATGAGTGGGCATCAAGTCTTTTTCGGGTATGCATTGATATCCTTGTATCTTCACTTGAACTTTTCAATATGCGTGTTTATATGGTGAAATGTTTGTGTGCAAGGATTTGATGATAGAAAAATTTTGATATCTTCTTGCCAACTGAGGATCATTTAATTTATGTATCGATGATCTCACTGTCTGGTAAAAGACATGTAAGACACTACTTGTATTTGATACCTGCTGCTGCGAGCCTGCAAATATACTTTGGATCCTGATCTGTCAACGGATTGTATCATTAGTTGGACTTATATGCGTTGAAGTCCAATTACTTTATAGCGCTTGAATTTCAGTCAGGAGTAATAATTATAACACTTGGTCAGAATCTAGAGTCATGATTGAAAGACTTCGTCAGAATCCAGACCTTTTAGTATTTAATGTCTAAAAATGTTATATTACCTTGTCAATTAGCCTTCATAACTTAAAATATACTTAATTCCTTGGTAGTGTCAGGGTTCATATTCTTTCTTGAGTTTTGTGCTTTTTTGTTCACTTAGCTTGTGTCTTGTGAAAGGGGGAAAAGGTTAAAAATAAAAAGGAAAGAAAATCAGATTGGCAGAGCAATATAAATGAACTAAATTATTAGTTTCAGGATCTCAACAATTCTTATTGTTGGCTGGTGACTACGTTTTTCTTTTTTCCTTTTTTTTTTTTATAACTTGTTCCTTTTGTTTTGGAGCTTGCATATTTTATCATCTTTTTGTCTTGCAACCTTCCTAAAAATTGAAATCTATAAGGTGCTGGACTTGCAAATTGATTCTAAAAGCTGGTGATATGTAAAGTAGTATTTCCGTTTTTTTTTTAATTTCCTTTTATTTTCTGTTTCTCTTTTCCTCTGGCTCTCCACAGAAACTCTTGTTATGATGGAATGAGAGGATATTTTATCCATTTGATTTGTATTTCCCACTTCGTTTCTGTTGAAAAATTTTCTACGTTATGCTAAGTGATCCTATTTTATTATAAAAGCCCTGATTCAAAGGATAACCTTACTTTATCCAGATTTCTAATCAGTGAAACTGATTCTTTAAATTATTCCCTCATCTCCTAATACAGTCAAGCTCGAAACCTTAGAGAATTGAATAATGCAAGATTTGTAATGTTTCTTAAGCTTATCATCAATCTTGTGCATATTTTATGAAAGTTATAATTCATAGAACTTAAAATTGAATACAGGTAAATCACCTTGAATGCAGGAGATGGACTATAAGAATGAAGCTAGCAATGGTCTCAAGTTTAGGTAAGTGCACGCTATCAATGTCTTTGTGACAATGTTCTAGTCTTTATGCACTTTCTCTGAGGATATAGTAGCATGCTTTGAAAACATAGGCATTGGTTTGACTTTGTAGTAGTTGACTGATGGAACTTGGTATTGTTAATCAACAATTAAGAGGAGAATTAGTCAAAAAACCCCTTTAATAAGTGATGGAAGAGGTAAAATGGTCAAAAGAGACTAATTATTCCTATCACAGTAGCTTGGGCCCCTCTTGAGTCCCTTCTCCCTCATCTACTGGTACATTCAGCTTATTGGGCCACTGTCTTTTATTAACTTAGCCCTTAACACACTTGGGCTCATCATTGAGTCATATTTTACACACATTTGAATTACTGTGATCACCAGTCATCTTCTCATATTGTGACTTGGCTTGGAAGTTATGAATTAAGCCCTTAACACTCTCTGGAATTTTTTTTCCCCATGTGAAGATTGTATTGGATAGACTTCAACCTGACTTTCACGTTCTCTGTTCAGTCAACATCACTTAATTCTGTCTAAATCCCATCATGTATCGCAGACCTGGCTTTTAATTTTTCCCTCTGGATATCTTATAATGACAGGAGACGGAGTGTGTTAATGATGAGAACACTGACTTTTCCAACGCTTGACTTAACTTTTAAGTAATTCGTTGCACATATGAGCTGATTTTTTCCCATTTTCTTTTTCCCTGTTTACTTAGGTTTGAGCTTTTAAGAGGCTGAAAGTTTGTCTTGCTAGCTCCTTAGTCATTATATCAGACTTATGGAGCCTCTGACTTGCTAACAATGTCTTTATCTCAGCAGTCATCATAGCAGTCCCTCCCTGGTGGTTGAATGTTTCATTTCATCTCTCTGTGTACCAAATTTTAGTCCTAGCATTGCTAATGGTGCTTTCTTTCAGTTCTCATTGATCATTAATGGAGGCATGATGAATTCCTTTTTCTTCTTATTTATTTTGTGTGACGAGCAGGAAGTTATATGGCTCTATACAAGATGTAGTGGTTCCCTTAATGTATATGGAGTATACAACTCGCAAGGTCTTAGTCATGGAATGGATTGAGGTAGTTGTTTTGTCTCACTTGAGTTGTCTGTTTACTTTAGTTGAGTAGGAACTAGAGATGTGTCCCATATGTTGTATAAAGCATGAGGGATGGACCGCATTATTTATGGCTTGTGAGCAATGTAGCTTGTTATAGAGTTTGTATTTCATATTGATCTATTGATAGTTCAATGTATGTATGGCTTTAAAGCGAGATAAATTAACTTGGGGCTTAAGATGCATGACTCTAAAACTTTTTAGAAATTATTTTAACGTTTCTTTCAGTGCTAGTATGTGTTAGAATGGGGAAAATCTCATTTAAGGCCTCTAAAACACACAAATTTGCACTACAGGCCCAATAAAATTTGAAAATGCATTGCAGGCCAAAGGGTCCTTTTTGCAAATTTTGTTGTAGACAAAAAGATACTATTGCTCTTGTTTCAAAGGCATGTCCATGTATGTACAGCACGAAGTCCACAAATTCTCAACACAATGTTTATAAATGCACAACATATTTGGTGGACATGATTTAACTTGAAGTGAAATGTACAAGCAAGCAAATGATGAACAGCACAATGTTTATGAATATGCAACATAATGCCCATCAATTCTCAACACAATGAACATATGTAGACCTGCAACATTTGTGCAACATAAAGTCCATAATGAACAACATACTTTCATTGAAACAACATACTTCAAGTTAATGTGCATCGGATATATTATCGTACATTCATGAATATTGTATTGAGAATTCGCGGACATTGTCTTATGAACATTCTATTGAGACAAGGGCAAATATGTCTTTTCATTCACAATAAAATTTACAAGAAAGGCACTTTGGCATGTAGTGCATTTTCAAATTCTATTGAGCCTGCAGTGTACATTTTTGTGTTTTGGTGGCCCTAAGTGAGATTCTCCTGTTAGAATACTACCAATTACAAACTCAAATAATGAGAAAAATAGCGCTCTTATTGTAATTTCTCTTGTCAAACTGTCTAGAATAATTTTCCAAGGAAAGTGCCTCAACTTTCCTCCCTTTGAGATTCAAGAGAAATATAGAAGCCATTTTCTCTTGTAGATGATCTTTTTATCCCTGCTGCATGAGTTTGACACTTCTTCTGATGCAAGTCTTGTTTAATTTTTTACATCTATTGTAGGGGCGGAAATTATCAGAAGTGAAGGATCTCTACTTGATTGAGGTCATTTGTGAAGCTAAATGCAGACATTCTTGTTTTGATATTTACTCTGTTAGCAATCAGCTTTTACGCAATGGACTAAGCAAGTTCATCTTTCCTTTCTTGTGATAATTAGGTCGGAGTTTACTGCTCATTCAATCAACTTCTTGAGTATGGATTCTATCATGCAGATCCACACCCTGGCAATCTTCTCCGTACATATGATGGAAAACTAGCTTATTTAGGTAATTTAAGTATGAAAAGAATTGAAATATACAATCCAGTGTGTTTTCCTATGAATTTTACTGTCTGCTTTTTTTTCTGTTGGCTTCTTGGTTGATCTCTACACTAATTATCATGTTCGACAACTTAAAGTTTCAAATAAGTAGAACTCTTGGAATGCCTGCCTCATGGTATAAAACCCTTTTTCTTTCTCCCTTTTTTTTCTAACCTTCATTTGGTGGTCATTTCTATTAATTCCTTTGTTACTTCTTCCAGGTTGCTCATAAAATCATATCATCAGATATTAAAAGAGACAGCGTAGAGTGAAGAGTTAAAATTATTATATGATGTTTGATGCCTGTCATCCTAACTTTCGTTTTGATTTAAAAGTATAAAAGTTGAGACCCTTATTATGGAGCTTGGTGTTCGGATAGTTCTGATTCTTTGTTAGATTTTATACCCCCCTTCAGTGTTTTGGACAACCCAGAAGACAACTCTTTTCTGTTTTGCCTTATTTAGAAGTCTAAGGCCCCTTTCTTGGAGAACTAAAGTTATCTCAAAAGCTTAAACTGTTTGGAGAAGGATCATAAATGATATTTACACACACTTGCATGAGCAACATAGCCCCTTGCGTTAAAGTCATTAGGGCTTGAAGCATGGTCAAAACATATTGGGGGAGGTAATATTGAACCCCTAAATAGGTCATTTAGGCGCTAATACTTTGTGAAGAACTATTTCATCCATAAAGCTTAAGCTCTTTGGTGAAGGTCCAGCAATGGTATTCACACACACAACATATAAAACACAACCCATTGCTAAAAATTCATTGGGGTTTCAGCATGGTCAATGGGCTTCAAATACTCTGTAAAAAAAATTAATGCAATAAGAAAACTTGGGAGAGGTAAGGATTGAACTCCTGACCAGATCATGGATGCCCTAATGCCTTGTGAAGAGCCAATTCATCCCTAAAGCTTCTTTGAGAAGTCTCATATATGATATTGATATACATGCTTAACACCTTAAACTTCTGATGATCTATTGTAGGTAAGTTCTCAAAATGCACCCTCTCCCACATTGTTGATGTTTCTATAGTTTATAATTATTATACACTTTATGCGTAATGAGGTCTAAATCATGTATTATGAAGTTTAGTACAGCACCATTATGTTCTATTTTAGCTTGAAGTGAAACAACTTACCTATTTAGCCTAGTACTGGAGGGGAGGTGCTCAACCTTCCTAAAAGTTCTAAAGCAAAGCATATCTTGCTTGAAACATGATTTTTCTGAAGGGGATGGTTTACACCCAAGGTCCTAAAATTCTGAACGAAAATCAATTAGATGTAGTTCAGTAGTATTAAGTAAAAAATGTCTCTAAATCGCCAGCTGTGTCTGAGATGATTTGATTCATGTGCTAAAAGTCAGCCGACGCCTGGTAATGATGCCTCGTATGGATGGGCATGAAATTCATTGGCAAAGGTCAAGCCTTTGTCAGCTACACACTACTTACCAGCAACTCTGCCTGTCTAGCTTATTGAACATAGTAGTAATGACTTTCTTTTTGCATATCAAGAATATATAGTTATATACATATAACAAACATCTTTCCTGTTTCTTTTTCCCCCCTTTTGCCACCAGATTTTGGTATGACTGGTGAATTTAAGCAAGAACTGCGTGAGGGTTTCATTGAAGCTTGTCTCCATCTTGTAAATCGTGATTTTGATGCATTGGCTAAGGACTTTGTCACTCTTGGGTATATATGAAATACGATTACATACCTTCCATTTTCAGTTTTTGCGTAGACTATTCTTATTGATATAGATCTAATTTAATTGTAAATTTTATCAGGCTTCTACCCCCAACTTCTGAGAGAGAAGCTGTTACGAAGGCCTTGACAGGTTCTTAATTTATTATGTTTAGGTGAACTTTAATATTTTTCTCACTGTAATTTGCTGTAGAAATTCATTACCTGTTCTTTCTGGGGAACTTACTAATTACAGATATTGCCTGCATTACTTTGATGAAGGTGTCTTCCAAAATGCTGTTGCCAAAGGAGTTCGCAATATTAGCTTTGGAGATCTTTTAGGAAACTTAGGAACCACAATGTAAGTTCTCTATATTAAGCTAGGTGATATAAGGACCCAGATGACATTTGCAGGTTTTCTAGGTTTGTCAATGGCCCATAAAATATGCCTACAAAAGTTAATTATGTATATTACATGAAAAGATAACCATAATTGCATATCTGATTCGTACATTTGCCACATTTACCTTCTAACCACACATATTCTAGTCAAATTTATTTGATAATAATGTTATAAAATTTAGTTGAATCTATTATAATTAGTTTTATAAGAAAATAAAAAGGGTTAAGTGGCATTTATGCCCTTGAATTATCTTACGAGGAGCACTAGATATCGTAAATTATTTATTAGAGTAATGTTGCCCTTCCAATGTCAATATCATTGCAAAGTCGCCTCTTGACTAATGGATATTGACGTTGATGGTTAACATCATATTAACTTTGGGCTAAAAATCATTTTTGTCCTCAAAGTGTCCATGAAAGAGTAACTAACCTCCTAAAATTTAATAATGTGGAGCAATTGGTACCCATGTTTTTTTTTTTTCCATAACATGTGGCATCATATTTAAAGTGTCACATGTTTTCCCACCTGGGTATTCATTAGTAAGAAAAAGTCTATCAACCCAGATTAACAATCAATCAACAACATTGTCACAAGTTTTATATATCCACGACTTGTTAACTAGACATTCGTTGGTCGAGAAAAAAAATTCTCTTAGCTTGCACTAATGGTCAGTATCAAAACATGAGTATCATGTTTTGATTGAAAAATAAGAGGATGAAATAGATACCTTTTGGCTTGCCATTTGTGATCTGTTGGTGAAATAGAAAAAGGTTTGTCAACCTCCATTAATTATAAATTAATGGTGATGCCACAAATTATATATGCCTATCATGTCTAGCTATGACATTGATTGGTGATTGGTGATTGGTGAATACCTACATAACTTATATGGTAGGATAGGCAGATATAACATGCAACAGTACCGTTAGTTGATCATCAGTGCAGATTGACAAACCTTTTTTTATTGATGAAAGCTTAGTTGGCAAGCCATGTGACACCCTAAACATGGTGTGACATGTTTCAGCTGAGAAAAAAGGGTGTCAACTCCTCCACGTCATTGAACTTTAGAATGTCGGTTGCTCCTTCATGAGTACTTTAGGGGGAAAAATGTTATTTAACTCAAAGTCAATCTAAATGTAATGGTCAATGTCAACGTTTGTTAGTCAAGGGACAACATTACAATGATTTTAACACTTGAGGGGTTACATTGTTCTAATAAATAGTGTAGGGTATCTAGTACTCCTCGCAAAATAGTTCAAGTTCAAAATGGTCTTTAAACCAATAAAAAAATAATGTATAGTGTTGATCCTCTTAAACTGACTGAAATTGGAAACAGTTCACCTTTCTATCTAGCCAACATAAACCTAAGTAATAGCCTCATTTGAGTGCCAACTCAATACGTTGGAGTGATTCTGTGGCAGCAAAAGTACAGAGGCTATCTTTTATTGTACATAGTTATAATGGCTTGAAATGGCCTGTTGTACGACAAATATAGTCATGATCACATTCTCCACGTTTATATACTACTTTCTTAGTCCTTGAATTGGACAAGCGTGATCACATTTTGTCACTAGCTTATTAAAGATTAAGAAAAAGTTTCATGTAGATTCCTGAGCTTTCTAGCCGAAACTTATTGTTTGAGATTTCAATCTATAGGATTTAATGATTTTCTAGATCCAACTCCAGCAGGGATGTAAAGTTTGTGTTTTAGGCTTTTAGCTTATAATGGACTAAATTAACAACATATTGTAAATATTCTCCTGCTATTTTCTTCTTGATGCTGGTTTGCTTATTCTTTATGTTTCTTTTTGACATGCTATGCTGTCTTCTTTTTCCAGGTATAAATTCAAATTCAGGATACCTTCATACTTCTCACTTGTTATCCGAAGGTAATGCTATTTGAATGTAGTATTAAGTTAATGTCTCAGTTCCTTATAATCTATAAACTTTTATTTGCTCTTTCAGCCTTGCTGTACTCGAAGGCATTGCTGTTAGCTTTAATCCTGAGTACAAAGTTCTGGGTAGTACTTACCCTTTTATTGCTAAAAAAGTACTTACTGACAGCTCTCCTCAGCTTCAATCTTCCTTGCAGACTCTTCTTTACAAGGTAAAGCAAGAGACACGTTTATATGTTACTTGACCTAGATATGGATTATAAATTCTCATTGCCATAACTTTTCTCCGTTCAATGGCTCAATAACAAATTTCAGTATTGACTGGTCCTTCTTTATCAGGATGGCATGTTCAGAATAGATCGTCTAGAGTCTTTGGTAACAGAGGTAACTCTATCCTTTTCTTTTCTTATTTGCTTTCTTACCTATTGTCTGTTTGAGGTTGAATTGTTAAATGACGTTGGAACTTGGTAGTTCTTTGTGGCTTATCTATCTTGTCAAGTAATATATTAAAACATTTACTAATTTGATGTCGTTTTATTCATACCCGTGGAAAATATGAAGCCATATTTATGAAAGGTTTTCATATATTGATTCAGTTTTAAAATCATCGTTCCGAATTTTAACTTGAACAGATTGAGCATCACAGATTCAATCTAAACCATCATTAATTCTTTATAGGACCGTTGAAAACCATCTACTTAATTCTTTTTATTTCCCATGGGTGCCATGTTCTTAAATATGTCACATTGCTTTTGAAGACTGGAAAGGGTACTAGTTCATCACCCTTATGTCAAAGCCCAATAGGCTTTTGGATGTTGAGTTTGAGCTTAGAACTCTGCTTGACATTATATAGGCCCATTTAAAAGCAACTGATGTGAAGTGAACACTTTAATAGATTATATTGTTGGGCCATGCCACCATGCTCACCACTCTTAAAGCTGAATAAGCTTTACATTCAGGCTTGAACTTGAGCTAGAAACTACTAAGTGGGGCCAGTATACATGTGCTAGACCTCTATTGGCCAGATGACCTTGGCATCATGGAGAAATCATATGCGAAATGCACATGATAGTGCTTTTTTCTTCCTTTCCTGTCAATTTCTGTTTATTGCTTTTTCTTGTTCAGTACGTCAAACTAACAAATCCTTAATGACAGTCTCTCCGTGCCAAAACAGAAAGGGGCAAAAGTGACAACAGTGATTCAAGGATGATTATAAAGGAAGTCCTTTCTTTTACACTAACTGAAAAGGTATCTTGTCTGTCCTAGTAAGTGTTCCATCTTGCGATTGACACTACTCGTCTCTTCTCCTAATCCATGGGGCTTTCATGCTAAAAATTTTAGGGTGCATTTGTGAGGGAAATCATTCTTCAGGAATTTGCTAAGGTATGTTTTTTCTTTAGAGATCTCCTACAATGAGAAACAGTGATGAATTATGAAAGTCATAAAGCTTTATGTTCAATCATGCCCATAATAGTACAACAGACAGTAACAAGTTCATCCTGCCGTCAATATGAGCTTAACGACAGGCTGTACCAGACACTAACTGTCTGTTGTACTGTTATGGACATGATGGAACGTAAAGTGCTACGACTACACTAAAGCATGGGGCATAATTTGTTTTTCCCTTTGTTTTCTCAACTGTAACAGCTATGTTGTCTACAATACGTTGTCAAGAAAGGAAACAAAAATGGTTGACTTAGTGGCATGGTATCTTAATTAGATCTTGCTATCTAGTAGCTCTCATTCTACAATAATCTAAGTATCTAACTAAAGAACTAAATTGGCTTAATGCTTTGGTTTTGCTTTAAGAAGCCTCTAAAACCAACATTTTAACCCCAAAAAGCTAGTTGGAGTCTAAATATTATGTTTGGATGAGAGTTGGAGGCAAGTGGTGGGTCAAAAACCAAATGGAGGAAAATATACTCTGATTTCTTGCTTAATGTGATGTCAGTACACAGAAACATTGTCCTATTTATACTATTCTAAGTCTTAAACGGAACAAAGGAAATAATGGGCAAGTTACAATTGCTTTATTATTTGTGTTAATGGTGGTGACCCAACGGACGACGGTTTCTACTCTTCCACACGTTTCTTCCCATTCCTTCATTGCTACTATTGTTTCATTTCATCCTCCTTGGGTAGAACAAAACTCGCCCTTGAGTCAAATTCGGCATCATCGTCAATGTAAGGGGATAAATCAGCAACATTGAAGGTGACAGACACTCCATAAGAACCAAGCAATTTCACCTTATAAACATTGTTGTTGATCTTTTGCACAATGTTTAATGGACCATAAATTCTTGGGGACAAGTTGTTTAGGAAATCATTCCTTTCGCAGATATATCCAAACCAAGTTTCTTACATTAAAAGTTTGCTATCTCCGATACTTGTCACGTTAAGCTTTGTATCTCAAATTTTGCTTTTGGATTCGCTCACGAACTTGCTCATGCAATTTCTTCATTTCCTTAGCCCTTTGGTTAGCATCATAACTATATTGTTACTTATCAAGCGAAGGGGTCTAGTCTAATAGACTAAGAGGATGAGTGTTGTAAACAACTTCAAATAGGCACTTTCCAGTTGCTTGGTTGACAAAGTTATTATAGGCAATTCAACTTGAGCAAGAATAGAGTCCCATTGATTTAAATTCTTCCTCACAAAACTGCAAAGAAGATTACCAAGAATCCTATTTACAGCTTCAGTTTGACTGTCTGTCTAGGGATGATTAGCATTGCTAAACTGGAGCTTAGTTTCCATCTTCTTTCATAGCATCTGCCAAAAGTGGTTGAGAAACTTCACATCACAATTAGAAGTGATAGTCTTAGGACGAATAATCTCTTTAAAGTACAAATCTGCTACTTGAATAGCATCATTGGTCTTTTGATATGGAATGAAATGGGCCATTTTTTAGAAACGATCCACAACTACCATGATAGAATCTTTTTGCCTCTGAGTCTATGGTAAACACAAAACAAAATCCATGCTCACATCTTCCCAAGGTGCTTTTGGAATTGGCAAAGGCATGTATAACCCTGTATTTTGACCCTTGGATTTGGCCAAGTAGCAAATTCTGCATGTCTATATATGCCTGTTGACATCCCGTTCAAGTTAATACTAGTAAAAGTTCTCCTTCACTAGGTCAACTGTTTTAGCCCGTCTGAAATGTCTAGCTAATCAACTGTCATGAGCTTCCTAAATTATGGCTCCTCTCAAGGAACCTTGTGGAATACATAGGGCTTTGCATCGAAATAAAAACCCATCATATTTGTAGAACTGGTGGAAAGGTTGATTTGCAGTTGCTTCCCACACCTCAAAAATCAGGATCATCTTGATACAATTCTTTGATAAGGTCAAATCCAACAACTTTGGTCTGCATTGTTGTGAGCAGCACATGTCGATAGCTAAGAGTATCAGCTACGGAGTTCAAAGTTCTAGCATTATGCTTGATAAGGAATGGATAAGATTGTAAGAGTTCACTCTAACGAGCATGTCTATGGCTAATCTTCTGCGAAAAATTCAAATACTTAAGGGCCTCGTGGTTAGAAAAGAGTATAAACCGTTTACTTAGGAGATAGTGACTCCAATACTAAAGAGCTTGAACGACGACATAAAATTCCTTGTCATAGGTAAATTACCTAAGCTTATCATCATTAAGCTTCTCACTAAAAAAGGCGATGGGATGGCCCAGCTAGCTTAAGACAGCACTAATGCTAGTGTTAGAAGTATCATAGCTAACTTCAAACACTTGGTCAAAATTAGAAAGAGCTAGGATTAAAGCTTTGATCAACTTTTTCTTAAGCTCCTCAAAGCTTTTCTAAGCTTGCTCTGTCTACTGAAATTTTTCTCTTTTAGTGCAATCTGTAAGTGGTCCAACAATAGAGCTAAAATTGCAGATGAACCTCCTATAGAAAGAAGCTAATCTGTAGAAGCTTCAAACCTCCTGGATAGACTTTTGGAATTGGCCAGCTGTCAATGGCTGCAACTTTGCTTCGATCAACTCGAACACCCTCTACAGTAATGATGTAACCCAAGAACACAACTTCATTGGTGAGGAAGGTGCACTTCTTGTGATTAGAATAAAGATTATGTTCTTGCAAGGCATGCAAAACTTGCCATAAGTGATCTAAGTGTTCTTCTTGAGTCTTGCTATAAATAAAAATATCGTCAAAGTACACAACAACAAATTTGCCAATGAAGGGTTTCAATACCTGATTTATCAGGCGCATAAATGTGCTAGTGGTATTTGTTAACCCAAAACATATCACATTCCACTTATATAAGCCATCTCTAGTCTTGAAAGCGGTCATCCACTCATCTCCTAGTTGAATTCTAATTTGGTGGTATCCACTACGAAGGTCAATTTTGAAAAAGGTACTGGCACCTTACAACTGGTCTAGCATATCATCGAGTCGAGGTATCGAAAACTGATACTTAACAGTAATCTTGTTGATAGCTCAGCAGTTAATGCACATTCTCTAATTCCCATCCTTCTTAGGTATTAGAAGAACAGGTACAACACAAGGGCTAATACTTTCTCGAACCAACCCTTTCTTCAACAACTCTTCAACTTGCCGTTGGACTTCGGCATGTTACTAGAGACTCATCTTGTAGGCAAGCTTGTTAGGAATGATTGCTCTTGGAATGAAGTCAATGACATGCTGTATGTCTTGCATAAGAGGCAACCTTAATGGTATCTCATCAGATACACATTTGGAAATTCAGGAAGTAACGAATGACTCATGGTGGATTGGCAGACTTATCATTCACCTCAAACACCAAAATAAAGCTCATTAATTGGGCTTCGGATTTTGTCACCTTGAATTCCTCTTTAGTCATCAAAGACACAAATGGCTTAGAGGTGCTAGATTCCCTCGAAAATTGGCTAATCTAATTGGGTGGTAGAGGCGCTTGTGTGAACTTGACACCATCTTTCATAAAAGAATAGGTGTTTGCATACCCGTTGTGCATAGTATTTCGATCATATTGCCATGGCCTCCCTAAGAAAAGGTGACCTCCTCGTCATATACTGGATCAGTTCCATAAAACTCAGTCTCTTCCTCATCTTCTTCCAGTGTTTCATACACTTGCCTTTTCCTAATGGTGACAACCCTCCGAGTAGGACAATCCGTAGCAATATAGCTAAATCCTTGGCATTTAAAGCATTTGATTGCTTTAGAGCCAGATTCCTTGGGGGTATTTTGTGATGGTTTGCACATAATGCTAGATTGTGGCTTGCTTGAGGAGTTGATTTGCTGAAATTTCGCCTTACGAGCTTCTAGATAACCCCTAAAGGAAGAAGACTGGAAAGAGGATCTCTTAGACGTTTGCTTCTCAACACGTATGGCTAGACAAATTACATCCTCTAAGGTCCAATACTGTTGAAGCTAGACTGGATGGTTAATATATGTGTTTAAGCTTATAATGTAACAGGCTATTGTTTGCTCCTCTTTTTCCTGAATTTCACACTTCATCATGAGTGTTCAAATTCTCTAGTATACTCTTCTATAGATAAAAACCTCTGTCGAAGATTTTGCAGCTAGAGAAAGTTGTCTTAATGGTAATGATCTAACAGAAATTTTCTAGTAACCTAACCATTTTATCCCAGGTCTCAATCTTGTGCTTTCCCTCACGATCTCGCTTCCGTTTGAGTTTTTCTCACCAAATGGAAGCATGTTTCTTGAGTTTGAGGGTGAAATTCTTAACCTTCTGTACATTTGGAATCTCTTTATATTCGAATACCCGTTTAACAGTTTGAAGCCAGTCTACGAACTTCTCTAGTTGGAATCTTCCCTCGAATTCAAGAATGTCTAACTTAATGTCATTAGAACAAAATTGTTATTGTTGTGGACGGCGGCGGTTTTTAGTGGATGACGAACTGCTACTTCCCGAATTTCCTTCCAGGTTTTCTTTGTTATTGTTTAATAGAGTTCACTACATTTTCACTGTAGCTTCCAATTCTCATATTCTACATCTCATCTCTTCCATCTCAATCTCATGCACATTCCTGTATCTTGAAGGCATTTTGATAGGTGTCAAGGCTAGGATGAGGAATTTTGAGAAAAATCAGGGTAAATGGGAATTTTGGTGAACTTAAGGGTGGGTAGGAATATTGGAAAGATTTAGGAGAAAAATGAGAATGTTGAAAGCATATAGGGGTAGAACGAGAATAAGTATAGGGGCAAAATTGGAATTTCAAAAAATATAGGGGTAAAAAGGGAAATTATGGAAGTATAGGGGTTAAAGTTTAATTTCAGGAAAATGTGGGGTCGAAATGGAGTTTATGTAAATTTAAGGGGTAAAAAGTGTAATTTTTGGTAAGATTTAGGGTTAAAATGGAATTACAGAAAGTTTAGGGATCAAAATGGAAATACTAAAAGTGTAGGGGTCAAACTGGAATTTTAGAAAATGAGGCTGATTGGGCAGGGTGATGTGGCGAATATGACACGTGGTGGATACTGACTGGGCTGACCTGTTGTTGACTAGTCATAGTGATGACGTGGCAGATGACATCATCATTTTCAACCTCTAGATGGCACGTGTAGCATGTGTACCGGTGGCGAGGCACGTGGGACTCTAGTAGGTGGCGTGCGAGGGCATGTGCGATGTTGTACAGCGACGGGGAACCTCTTGTTCTACTTTTTCAGACCTCCTGAGCACGATGGCAATGTCAGTTTCGGGAAAAAAACGCCTGTATTGCAAAACGTGAAAACGTCAGGGACTCCTCTGAATCTCTTTCTTCTCTGACGTAATTCCTCAACTATTCCTCACTCTCTTGCTCTCTAGACCAACTCTAATACCAAAATGGCTTAGAAACTGAATGGAAGAAAATATATTCTGATTTCTTGCTTAAAGTGATGCCAGTACACAGAAATACTGTCATATTTATACTATTATCAAAGTCTTAAATGGAACAAAGGAAATAAATGGCAAGTTACAATTTCTTTATTATTTGTGTTAATGGTGGTGACCCAACAGACGACGGTTTCTGCTCTTCCACACGTTCCTTCCCGTTTCTTCATTGCTACTATTGTTCCGTTTCAAGTGGCTTGTTCTTTCTAAAACTTAGGCTAAGCCTAAAGCAACAATTTGTAGTTTCTGAGTTAGGTTGCGTTGCATTATACTATTATTCAGCATTTAATGCCATTTAAAATTACCAACAACCAAAAATACCCTTCAACTTTAGACTCCAACAAAGGCTATTCATTAAATGGATCTAATTATGTCTTTTTTAATATTTACAAATTACATATACCTTTTCAATAATATTATATATCACAAAACTAATGTTGTTTTCCGTCATTGTACATCCAAACTTGCTTTTGAATTATATCATTCATACATGTTTTTTGTCAAACATAAATATCCTAACATAAATCACACTAGTACACTGCAGTAACTGACTTTTATCCCAACTTCAGTTTGCAAATAGTTTGTGGAAACTTTAGTTTTGCAAATGCTAAGCCAAACACACTTTTCAGTCATTTTAAACCTAGCTCTTATTTGATTAGACATTTTTTTGATGCAGGGTTTAGATGCACTTGGGCTAGCAACCTTGGATTCTATAACTACAAGAGTTGCTGCAAATATACCGTTCAGTGCTCTCTTTACATACCCTTTAATGACTGACGAAGACATGAACAACCTCAGAACCTTCCAACGCCTAGTGCTATTGATTTTGGGAAGTGGTAGAGGTGAAGACACTAATACGGTGAGATTTATTGTTCCCTTGGATAGAAAACTACGTCTACGTTTAGCCTAAACTTCCATTAAGTGTACAATTTTAGGTCACCTGAACCGGGACAGAAGTACAGAACTAAATTTTTTGGTTTCCTTCATGAGGGAAACGAGTAGAAAATCTAAGTGCACTGATTTGTACTGTTTCAATTTGCTACCTACGGCTTCAAAAATAAGATACTTGGGAGAGTTTGATTTGTCTAAAATATACTCTTGATTTGTCTGGTTCCTTAATTGGGTTTTCCCATTTTTACCCCTTATTAAAATTTTAGATTCAAGTAAATTACGGGAGAGATATTATATGCCACATTAAGAAAAATACAATTTATTATAGAGAGATGTTAACCATTTAACAGTGGTAAATGTGGAAAAATAATTATATTTGGATGCAAATTTTATGAGTAAAATTAACTTTCTCCATATGTATGAAATAGTTAATGGTGTCTTATATTTGAGATCAGAGGGAGTATATCATCATAAGTTACAATTCTATACAAATGGGTATGACGGAAGCACCATAAAAATGATTTAAACATCTTCTTTAGGCATGTCAAAGTGAATGCATAACCTAACACACACTTTCATGCTGTAAAAATGAACCTCGTATTGGTACTCATACAACTAATGTGGAGTTTGACTGTGTCAAAAAGTCAAAATTATTGATATAACTTGGAGTTCATCTGTGTTGCTGATCTAGTCCTGCGAATAATTTTCGTTTTCAATAAAATTATTTCTCATAATGCAACAAGAATTTCCCAATAGAAATATAGAATGTGCCTGTGTGGTTGAATGGCTCGAATCAGTTCGACAAGTTTCTGTCTTGTAGGGTGGCAAACAGGTCCAGGTTAGTCCGTACAAGAACCAGCAGGAGCAAGTATCGCTAGTATTAAGTCGACTTGAATCAGTTCAAGAGATTCTTCCTGTTCTTTCTATCATACCAGAGGTAAAATTTAGCATTTGCATGTGTGGCACATGTAATATTCCATACAGTTGCACGTCATTAGTAGTGATACTGTCTCTTGATTTTTTATTTTCAAGAAAAGTGAATAGTTAATGTTCAGAAACTCAATATTTACCACAAAAAAAGGGGCTTACCCCAATGCTACTATAAAATTTTATACCTCAAACTTAATGCCTTTGTATGCCTACTCTTATCAATCAAAATATGATTCTATCTCACTTTAAGATCATTCATCATCCGAAAGCGCACACTATCACAAATGGGATTTTCTTGCTTGAAGATTACATCATTTTCAGCCTGCCAAATCACATATATTGCTGCACAGAACATAGCAACTCTTAAATTAAAATATCAAAACAGGAACCAATATCATAATCCACATATTGCATCACATTCCTTGAGATCCCATTAGGGAATCTGCATTCAAGGAAGGGATGGTCTCTGGTGGTTTTTGTATGAACATTGCAAAACACGTTCTCTTGATATTGTTTCCTATTACTGTAACACTTATTTATATTTGTGAATGTTGGCAGCTTCCAACAGAATCTCAGCGACAGTTGCTTCAGTTGCCAGCTGACCTGGCTCAACGGCTGTTATCCCGTGCTGCAGCAAGAACAATAAGAAGAGTTCTGTTATGACTGGTTTTAAATTCACGTCAGATAAAGGATTTATGGAGCATCTGAACTTGTCTGTCTCCATGGTTTCGTGAAGTCAACAGAGAGGTTAGGAAAAGTAAGTAGGACTTGTGACTGAATATGGACGGTGAGTGCTATAAAGAACATTGTCAAGTCAGCTGAAGATTTTCTGCTTCAAGGCTTACAAGATGTCTAATGCCTCAGCTTTTCATGTCAAGATTTCAAGGCTAAAGATTTTGATGCATAAATAGCGAATTCACTTTATATACATGTAAATTCCATTGGGTATTGAATTTTTATTCATTGATAACCTGTATTGGCCTTGTCAACAGCATGTATCCTGAGAATTAGAAATGAAGCAAACTGTGTTTTAATTTATGGAGAAAATTTAAATTTTATGAAACTTGTATGCTACAAATATTTTTTATAATCAAATTGGAATAAATGAACTTATTGAAATAAGTTAAAAAGATTTGATAATAAAATTCACCCTTAATTTGGATGGAGAGAGAAATAAAGAGAAGGAAAAATTGGGGGAGAAAACTTCTAAAAATGGTAAAATTTTGGAATTTTTTTTCCCTGGTTTTCTTTCCTCTTTATTTTCTTCTCACTTTTCTTCCATCCAAACTAAGCTTTAGATCCTGTTTGTTTAAGATCAACCCTAAAATAAATAATGAAGTGATTTTGATTAAGGTGCATGAAGGTTTTGAGAGAATCCTGAGCGAAAAACGAGGGGTTGTTGGAATTTTCAGCTTATTTTGATGAGTGATTTTGATTAGCTTACAAGTTAAAAACAAATTTTCTTCAAACAGCCCCTCATATTTAACTAAACATTCTTTCAACAACTTTTTTTTTTTTTAAATTTTTTGGGGTGAAGTTCAAACAAATAATTGATAAGGCAAGTATTGCATAAGTTAATTGGAGTTGGAAAACAGCTTACTTGCAAGTGTGACATTTCCTTCATTCTATTGGGCTGTAACTGTCTCCAACTCTTGAAAAGTGTTAAGAAATGTAAAGAAACAAAATTAATTGCATTACAATACATTAATCATTTGGAAACAAGACAACTCTTCTTTGAAGGATTACAAACCATCCCCAAACTTGTGGGGTTATACAAGTGAGGTAAGAATCTGTGTTAACCTTCCTGTTAAGGTAGGAGACAACCTCCCTAATTTCTAACACAATATGGCATTCTTTATATAAAACTTAAGAGTCACCAGCTAACTAATGTGATTAATACTAATCATGCATTAATATTCTAATATTCCAACAAAAAAGAACCACTTGTATAATGAGCAATGAGTATGCAAGTGCTCAAAGTTGTTGCCAAATAAAATCAATAGAAAACTATGTCTTCTAAAGAACATTTCAAATTGAGTGAGATAAAAAAAAATTAAAAAGGAAAGTTACTTTGAAGACTGAAAACTAATGCTATGTTTAGTTGCTAGAGTATTCATCAATTGTTTTTTTTTTTTTTTGAAAATTTTGACTAACAAGAACATTCACTGTTGAAGTGGGAGGGACAATGAAATTCTTGAACTCGGCTTCTTTTCATTTAGTTTTTCTCCACTTCCTCCTCACTTACCATTTCAATCCTTGGATCAATTTCTGAATTATTAGGATTTAGTATTTTCATAATTATTATTAAAATGTTAAGGAAAACTTGTTAAAAAAGACCTCACCACAAATTTAACTATGGAGAGGAACCTGAAAGCTTTTCTAACATGAGGTTCTTCATTGGCATAAAATGAGACAAGCAAAAGACCAAACTACCCTTCTTCCCTCACAACACCAATCGTGACTTGCTCATCCTCTTCTTTACATCACCAATCACTGCTCTTCCTTCCTCAATCCTGTGAGTCGATGCTCCCCCACTTTCAAGACCAAAACCTTCAAGTTCTTTGCTGGAGAAGATCACACTACCACTACACAACAAAAGGGACGAATCCCATTGATTCTGTCTGTGAAGTGGTTTTTATTTTCTTCTTCAATTGAAAAGGTTAATTTGCTCACTTTTGTTTCTCGATGTGTTTTCCTTTTTTTAGTGCGTTAGTCAGTTGATTAGGTTTGGTTTTGATTTTTGAATGCTTGGTTTGATTTCACCATTTAAGCTTTAGTTTATTTCATTAACACCCATTACTTGTTGTTCTTATCAAATTTTGTATGTCACTGCCTCAAAATTTCTTTCTTTCTTTCTTTCTTTTTTTGGTTCGCTACCATGTTGCCATCATCTCCATTTTCCCTATTCCTTCTGTTTCTACGTTCTTCATTCACTTTCCCTATTTGTGAGTTCATCCCTTGCTATAGTTTTTACTCTAAGTTGTCTCCTTCTTTGTGTCTATTCTCTATAGGTATCTTACTAGCATTCCATTAATTCGTACGAAACTTCTTGATATATGCCAATCAAGGCCGAAGTCAACCAAAATGCACTGGAAATGTTGATCTATCTAATAAAAAGCAGTCAAGCATTAGTCAAGATGATTTTTGTCTATTGATACAAAGAAACTTAGCAAAGTGTCAAAGACGTCTAAGAAGATAGAGATTTTCCCTCAATCAAAAAACAGTAAGTTGGGTGTGGTTTCTATCTATTTCTTAACAAGTCTATGCAATTATATTTTAATTCAATATGAATTGATTGCACTACGTTTCTATTTGGCCAAAGAAAGGAAATTACTTTATTAATTCACATTAGAATCTTTGCATGTGATAATTCTGTTTTATGGGATGGGAGATGCATCATAAAGAATTGATAGGAGATTTTCTATAATGTGGATTAGAATTGATGTTAGGAAACATAAATTACTAAAAAAAGATATGACTATAAACATTGCATAATTTCTAATGACTCACTAAAGTGTATGATCCACTGACATTGAACTTTTTCATAACTTTTACAAAACTAGGAAATGAAGAAGTGAAGGACTAAGCTACTCTTTGTTCATCAAGTGCAAACAACATCTCAAACTAGATATAGCCTATGAACTTAATTCATCTTCAATTCAATGTCTTCTTTGAACAATTGTTTTGTTCACATATAGAAGAATGGAATAGATCAAAATTAGATACACGTGATTTTTCCCTTATCAAATTGAAAAGATGGATTTCTTAATGCTTATAAGTTCTATTCATAGTTGTTTTCATATGAGATGGTTTTCATTTGTGCTTGAAAGCCAAAAAAGCTTTCTACTCCTAAATTTCAAATTTATGGCTTATGGGTTAGAGAGTGCTAAAAGTATGAAATTGTGGTTTGAAATCAAAAATTAGTATGAGAGCACTGCCAATATTGATTGGTATGTGTGTTGTTGTTTCACCCATGCTTAATATGATATTTTTATGTAGGAAGAAATGGTTAAAAAAGGTATACATGTTTTGATTGTTGGTCAAAAATGACAAGAATAAATTTCAGGACAATATCTAGCATGTAATTTAACTTGGAAAGTTTCAAAGAAGCCAAAATAGATTAAGAAGTTTGTATTTAGGTAGATGACTTTATGTAAAAATGACATTTTTTTTTATAAAGTAGTAGGGATGTTTTTGTATAGATGCCCTTAAGTTTATAAATTATGACATACACTTCTAATAGATTCAATGTTCAATGCAAAAAAAAAAAAAAAAACTCCATGATGATGTTCTGTTGCCATTTCATTAAATTATTCTAAATTTCATGAGTATATTTATCATATTATATAAATTTTTAGGATATGAAATGATATTAAAAATGACACGCTTGTAAATGATTTTAAATGGAAATTGTATTGTTGATATGGATGAATGTTGTTAATATTTTAGCTACAATGCAATTGCGTCTAAATGTTATATCTGACAATCATAACTATTTTTTAGAATATAACAATCATTTTTCATGAAAAAAGTAATATGTTACAAAATTTTCTCACAAGACACTCTTCATTTATTCAAATATCCATTTTATATATCTTGAAAATTGAGCTAAAAGAGGCTCTATAACATTCAGCACTCATTTTTCATAAATCCTGAAAAAAAAATTAGCTAATAGAGATTATGTAACATTCAAGACCCTCATTTTTCATGATATACATTCCACATATTTTAAAAAAATTAGCTCATATAGATTTTGTAACATTCGGGACCCTCATTTTTCATAATATCAATTCTACATATCCTGAAAAAATTGGCTCAAATAAGCTCTATAACATTTGGGACCCTCATTTTTTTTGATATCCCTTCCACATATTCTAAAAAATTAGCCTCTAGAGGCTTTGTAACATTCAAGACCTCATTTTTCATGATATCTCTTATTATTTTCAAGAAAAAAAATTTCATGCCCTTTATTCAAATATATAACATGATATCTTGAAAAATGATGTCACAAAGACCATATATGGGATGCATTATGTCTTCCATCATATATAACATTCTTCACAAAAATGCATATACCTTATCCCTTTATGTAGTCATCTTCAACAACATGTACAAGTATCCTTGCATATGCAAAAGGTCTCCCTGTAATGCAATAGTCTCACTTCATATACAGAAATTTTTCATATATGCATGAAATGAGTCCTCATATGCAATTGATCTTCCTTGAATATGCATTTTCTAGTAGGTGCACATGACTTTAAGGATATGCAATTGGTCTTCATATAGATACAATCATCTTCAATGGAATGCAATACTCTTTCAAAGAATGAGAAAGTTACCACGTATATGCAAAAAAGTCTCCCTATAATGTAATAGGCTCCCCTTATGTGTAAAATTCTTTCATATATGCATGTAATCAATTCGCATATGCAATGAATCTTCCTTAAATGTTCATTTTATGGCGGGTGCATATGACTTTAAAGATATACAATTAGTCTTCATATAGATGCATGCATCTTCAATGAAATGCCATACTCTTCCAAAAAATGAAAAAGTTATCACGCATATACAAAATATCTCCTTGTGATGCAATAGGCTCCCTCATATAGAGAACTCTTCTATATATGCATGCAATTAGTTTGCATATGCAATGAATCTTCCTTGAATGTGAATTTTTTTGGCAGGTGCATATGACTTCAAGGATCTGTAATTGATCTTCAAATAGATGCAAGTATATTCAATGAAATGTAATACTCTTTTGAAGAATGAGAAAGTTACCATTCATATGCAAAAGGTCTCCCTATAATGCAATAGGCTTCCTTATGTGCAGAAATATTTCATATATGCATGTAATCAGTTCACATATGCAATAGATCTTCCTTGAATGTGCATTTTTAGCGGATACATATGACTTCAAGGATATGCAATTGGCCTTCACATAGATGCAAGCATCTTCAATGAAATGCAATATTCTTTTAAAAAACGAGAAAGTTACCATGCATATGCAAAAGACCTCCTTTTTATAGGCTCCTTTATGTGTATAACTCTTCCATTTTTGCATGTAATTAGTTTGCATATGCAATGAATCTTCCTTGAAGGTTCATTTTCTTAAAAACTAGTACCACATTTTAATTTTCAAGATATGTATTCTTGTTTTCATTAAAAAAAATATAAGTATATAGATACAATCATTTTCAGGATATGCATTCATTTTCCATTAAAAAATAAGCATACAAAGCCTAAGGTTACAATCATTTTCATGATATGCATTCTTATTTTCATAAAAATAAGCATCTAAAGCCCAAAGACATCTATTTATCTAAATATACTATATCATTATCACGAAAAACACAACACTTCTTGAAAAATATATATTAAGGGTGTTAAGTAATGTACCTCATATCTAAAGATGCAGCAACTCAAATGCCACCACCGGTGTTGCTCGGTATTGCTTGAGTACTCCTCAAGTGGCTAACAAATTAACAAGCTGTTGGTATTATCAATTCTTCGTCTTCTTTGTCAATCCTCTGCAAGTTCCACCACCCTCAAAATTCTACTGGTCAAACATTTTTTTTTATTTTCAAATCTCTACTAGGGACATTTTGATCTTTTAATGTCACTACGACATTACCACTAAAAGACCTCATTCTTCAAAACTCTCCAACGCTTTTTTAGCAATTAATTTGAAGGTGAAGTCTTTATAGGCAATTTGTCCAAATGTTAAATTATGATAAATAAATAAATAAATTTATAGTATAATAAATTTGATCTAAATTACAATTCAAGGTTCAAGATTGTAATTAAAAAATAAAAAAATTAAATTTTATAAAAAAAATTAATACTACCTCTGACTCTAAATATAAAAGAAATACCTTATCTCTTTTTATTTGTATTTATAAGCAAAACTACAAAAAAGAAGCATTTATCACATATTTTTTAAATTATTCCTCATAAAATCAATGTTTATTTTTACCATACAAATTTATTTTATTAATTACAGGGATATTTTAATCCCAACTTTTTATTTTTCATATATAGTTATTATATTTAACCAATTTCGTTAAATTGTACGAATTCATTTTTTTTTATATTTGAAAATGGAGGGAGTATGATCTAAACTAAATGAAATTCCTAAATGAAGTTTGTTGGTTTATTTTTTGAATCCTCGTTGCGTCCCCAACTCCGAACCATTCCGTAGAACAGAGAGCAAGTCTCGTGTGCTCGCGGCTTCCTGGCTTCCTGGCTCCCAACCAAATCACATGTATTTCATCATAAGTTACAATTGATTTCCATAAAAAGTTAAAAAAAAATTAAATAAATAAATAAATAAAAAGTTACAATTCATATTTTATAAGATATAGGTAAAAATATAATACATATAATTTTTAAATAAATTTTAATATTTAGAAAATTACCAATGAAGATGAATATTTTACTAATATCACTAGATAGATGTAAAACATATTTTTAATAATTAAAAAATTAAGAGAGAATTACATGCAAGTCTTATAAAAATGATAACTTTTCATGACAACTAAAAATTTTCATTTTTTACTAAATTGTCAACAAATCTTGTAATATTTAAATGTATTATGGGGGATCTCCAAATAATTATCCCAAAAATTAATAACAAAGTTATTTTAGGGATATCATTATCCAGCCAAATACAAATATTCATTCGTTTTCATAACATACCAGATATATTTACCTTATTTCGTCAATTGACATTATTAATCTCAAAAAAATTGGGAAAATTTTATTGAAGTCCCACGGAATGGCTTAATTGCAAAAAGGAAAAAAAAAAAAAAAAAAAGGAATCTGAAATTACTCTATAGGAACAGGGGATTGAAGAAAAAAACAATAAATTGACAAAAATACCCCTTATTGGGTGGAAAAGGCAATCCCTTTAGCACCAAGCTGTAATTCAGATTTTAAGTTATAATTGGGACCAATAGATTGATTAGTGACAATAATATGCAACTTAATCTTCTGAACTGGATAATGCATAATGACAAGAGTGTAACATGAGACTTCTTTATTGCTGCTTACAAAATCAGATATAAATTTTATCTGTACTAATGTACATCAGATATTTATGATAATGACAGTGAAAACACCAACACTAAGTGAACGTTTGATATATGGAAATTTGCTTTCCAGAAAGGAAAAGAAAAATATATTTAGAAAGAAACTGGGTTAAATGCATTTCTCATTTCTTTCCTAAAAAGTATTTTTCTACATACCAAACGTGCACCAATTGTTCTTTAAGAGGGTGTGAGTACAAATAATGTAAAGCAAGAGAATGATGGTTTTAACTTATTTGACACCTTAATAAGTTGAAACTAAGGCACGTTTATGTGGGGAAAAAGGTAAAAAGGATTTTACTTAGGATGGCTAATGAACAGATGTGCTAGTGGCACCCCCCAGAAACTTCTCAATTTGTAGAAGCACCTGATAAGATTCAATGATAAGATTAATAGAATTGCCAGCAGAAATGCAACTCTATAGCTAACGAATAAAATTGAAGAAAACCCTTTTCTGGTTTGAGAATTTTCAATTTGGTCCTTGAATACAAATCATTTCTTTCCTTTGAGTCACTCAATCATCACTATGCTTGCAATGTTGCTTTTTATCCCACCTTCATCGAAAATTTAGCCAAATTTAAAAATTGGCTGACTTGAATGTTATTTGTCTACTGACCTCACTAATTCAACTCAAATTTCATTTCCAAAGTTTGAAAAGTTGATTCCATGCTCATTTTAATAAGTACATAATGTAAGAGAAAGACATCTTCCAACTGTCACTTATTACAAAAAACATGGAGTTATCACTTAAACAATAAAATTTAAAATTGTTAAATTTGAACCGTCCAAAATTAAATTTGGATGGTTCAGATTTCAAGAATGAACACATGGTGCTCAACCTTGAGATGAGTTTGGAATTCCAAGTCCTTAGTCAACCGTACATCTAGATTTGGCATTAAATTTTGCGGAGGTGAGACAGGTGACATTGCAAGCATAATGATTGAATGGCTAAATTGAAAGAAATGGAGTACGAAGGACCATATGGAAAGTTCACCATTGTCCCAGAAAAGAAAATTGAATTTTCTTCAAAATGAATTCTTCTGAGGTGACATTATGGATCACATTTTGCCCAAAAATAAAAAAGAAAAATTGGAAATAGCACAAAAGAGGAAGAGTAAGAAACCTCAGCTGCTATGGCTGCAGGTGCAATATTTAAGACGTCTTCATCACCTAAATTAGCAGCAAGATCTGAAATGTTAAAAGAAAAGAAGACCTTTCAGCAAGGACAGAGAAAACGGGTATATATCTTCAAGATTAATTCAAATACTTCAAGAGAAACTCATTTAAATTGTGCACAACATAGATATTCTAGATCATGATCATCAAGGAATATATTTTCCAACTAATAGGCATACCATTCAGCAAATCTGAAGGGCAGACAACAAAATCATGGGAAAATTGCTCTCTAGTCCCGTGGAAGCAATTTAAATACAGAAAAATCCCATGAAATTACAAAATTATTCTAATGTTCCATGTTCTTTACTGAAGTTGTCAATTATTGTTAAATGGTTGTTAATTATTGTTATTTAATTGTCAAATAAACAACTCTACTAACAACTATCCGACAATAATTGACAATTTCAATATAAAAAATTGACAACTTCAATAAAAGACATGATTTCAGAGTAATTTTGTTATTTCATAAGACTTTTTTTATACATAGATTTCGTGTGTAGGACCTAACGGTAATTTTTCCTAAAATAATTGGCACAAAGGGCTGCTATAATAAAGTCAGAAAGGGAAAGATAAACACATTATGCTATAGACAGCCAAATGCTAAAGATTTGTTCTAATAACACACGCACACAAAAATCAATTCCACATCCGTTACCCCCTGAAACAGTTCCTGCATGAAAAGTTCTCATCTTTCTTCCTTTCACAGCGTTCTCGTTAAATTTGGAATAGGCTTTATGGTGTTTATGAAGGTTTACCAGGTTTTAGCTCTGTCCTGTAAATGTGGAGCAGTTAGTGTTGATCAAAAGTAAAGAAGTTTGGGGGAGTATAACAAGAAAACACTCGGGCAGCAGGTTCAACATGCAGTAATCTGCTGAATTGGCTGTAGCATAATGCAAGAATTTCAAAGCACACGTCTCTGATCATGCAGATTCTCCAGGTTAACATTAACTTTATGGCCTTTTTTTGGGAAAATTGATCTTTTAGTCCTCCAACTTTTAATTCATTTGTAACTCAGTCCTTCAACAATGACTCGCCGTGACTCAATCCCTCAATTATGACTCGCCGTGACTCAGTCCTCAATTATGACTCGCCGTGACTCAGTCCCTCAACTTTTAAATCACTTACAAATTAGTCCTTAAACTTTTGTTAATTTTTTTTTTCATGTTAGCTTATATCTCACATCAATGAACAAGAAGGTATTTGAGAATAATATGAGCATTTTTTCATCCCTCTTATTGGATAAGAAATTTAAAAAAAAAATAAAAAATAAGGACCGAATTATAGGTGAATCAAAAGTTGAGGAACTGAGTCGCAGCGAGTTATAGTTGAGGGATTAAGCCGCAGCGAGTCATATTTGAGGGACTAAGTTACAAGTGAGTTAAAAGTTGAAGGATTAAAAAATTAATTTTCCTCCTTTTTTTTAATGCATAACAAATGGTTGTATGAGGAATCAATAGTCAACAAGTTTAAACGGATGACGTAGATCTTTTGTATTTTTCACTGTGTCTTCTCTTTGAGCTAATTTACGAGCGTTTCTAGCTCCCCACCCAAGCATGCTTAATGAATGTGGATTAAAATTTGCAAAACTGAAGTTTCTATGAACTGATGTTTGCAAATTGGAATTAGGGTAAAAGTCAATTACTGTAACGTGATTCATTTTGGGTACTTTTTTCTCAATGCCATAAATGTGATAACTTATGGAGCTAGACCAATGACTAACCTAAAAGGGAAACTTTGATATCAGCATTGGCGTATGCATCAGCTCTCTTCTTGGAAATGGGGAAAAGCCCCACAAAAGCCTGCAACGAGGAAAGGAAAAGTTCAAAGAAAAAGAAAATCCTCTGGAGCTTAATTTTCCACCAGATAAAGCAAAAAATGAAACCTAAAGTAGGTGGATGGTGATTGAAGGAAAAAGAAAATTTGAAGCTGGATAAAGGGTATCCATTTAGAACAGATAATTAAAACCCACCTTAGTGTATGCATCTCCTGAGCTATCTAAAAGAGGGCGAGAACTGGTTCCAACAGCAGCAATTCTCTTGGCCAAGGCATCTAGAGGTACATTTAAATAGACAGATATTCCTTGCTTGAAATATTCCCTGAAAATGCAAACCACAACATGACCCTAAATCATTGATGATCCCGCCAAAGTAGGTTTAGATGTCACTGATTAATGAAACTTTTTACCTTGTTAGCAAATACTAGAATTAGGCTTACCAGTTAACGGGACGAACCACAGCTCCACCACCAGTCGCAACAACTTTACAGGACATTAAGGACAACTTCTTCAATGCCTCACTCTAGCAAAAGAAACAGGCCAAAAAAGAAAAACAGATACTTTAAGATTAAATATGCAAATCACAAGTTATCAGATGTAATTGCAAGTGAAAATAAGATTCTAGTGATGTTTGGATGCCACCCCTCGGGTGATTCTGAAAAGTCACAAAATAAACGGACAAAGAGCTCGTCTTAAGAATGTCATTCAAAGCTGATAAAAATTTATATTAAAATTTAGCAGAACAGCTAAATCTGAAGATTGCAGAAAGAAACTTACATTACATATGGCACAACTTGATGATAACGAAATCAAGGCAATAACTGATGTATTTTGAATGTCTTATCTTTTAAAACATATTTCACAGTTTTCTTGCTGATCATTTTACCAAGCAACCACTAGCTCATAACATACTAGAGGGAAGGGGACGAAGGATGGAAACATGTGTGATTATGATCCTTGGTTTTTTAAAAAAAGAATCATAGAATAATGGATAAAGAATTGGATTGCATAAAAGAAAGAATTCACTGGAAGAAAATAGAGATTAGTATAAATAAGATGATGACAATGATAATTTTACTTCAATAGTACCTTCAGTACTGGAAGTTGAATGACATGGATGATAAACAACTAAAATCACCTATTTCTTGAGAAGGATGGAAACAAGATACGGCTTAATAGGAAGAAGCTTGAAAGACCCTCAGGCTGGTGTAGAAATCCGATCACTAACCTCATTGTCTCTGAAGAAGCTCTCACCATATTCATTAAATATTCGAGCAACTGAAATTCCACCCATGAATTCTTCCACAAAATGGTCACTGGCAAATGTACCAGAAGAAGAAAGCTACATAAATGAGATTTTTCAATCATATTTTAAACATGAGGTACCTTGCAAATACATATCATGTGAATAAACTCCCAAGTAAAGCTCACGCACTAGATGATATGCAGAAGGAAACCTATGTAATCATTAATTACCTTAGGCAAGATAAAAACAACATTTCTCTTCATGATACAACAAGAACAACAATTTTTGGTGTCTTCTTTCAATTATTAGATCCTCTGTTTCTGCCTTCGTCATTCAAATTTACATACATATGAGCTCCTTCTACATAGAGTTTGCTCAATAAGGATATGTCAGAAAATGGGGGGAAAAATTGGGAGAATCTCATCAAAGGCCCTTAAGGAAATTGCACTTAGGGCCCCATTCATTCTGAAATTAGGCCTTTTTTGCAAATATGCTTTAGAGAGAAAAGATGCAATAGCCCTTAGTAAGAAAGAAAGAACTTTAAGATCACTACCAATGGACAATTACTTGTTAATATGTAAATCTAAAGTTGTGAATTTGTGAACATCTAATTGTAAAAATTTGAACTTACTGTCATGATGAACTTTAGTTTTGAATATGTAATGTCATAAATTATGTACCTTGACTTGTGAGTAGATGAACCTATACTTACGAATGTTCAAACTTTAAATTATAAATTTATTAAGTTGGCCAAGATTGAACAAGAATTTATCCACCAATGGCAATTACTTGTTAATATGTGAACCTAAAGTTGTGAATTGATGAATATGTAACTTGGAAAAATCTACACTTGCTATCATGATAAACCTAGTTCTGAATATATGAAATTATAAATTATGGGCTTTGAGTAATGAAAGATGAACTTATAACTATGAATATTTGAACTTTGAGCTGTAAATTTATTAAGTTGACCAAGATGATCATGTCAACTCTAAATAAAAATTTCACTTCCAATGAACAATTACTTGTTAACAAGTGAATCTAAAGTTGTGAATTCATGAACATGTAGTTGTAAAAAGTTGAACTTATATTTGTTGTCTTTTCTCACTAAGGGCAATTGAATCCTTTCTCCCTAAAACATATGTGCAAAAAGGACCCTTAGGTCTACAAAATAATTTCAGAATGCATTGGGTCCTAAGTGTAGTTTTTTCTTCCTTGGGAGCCCTAGATGAGATCCTCCCAAACAAATTTTGGTCCCCTTGGGGGGGGGTTTACGTAGAAAATGATTTTCTGCAGCTAAAGATTTTTTTTTTTTGGGACCAGATGTTATAATGTAAACTGAAAGAAGCCAACTTATTGCTCATACCGTTATCACTTGCAGTAATTCTTAATCAATTTATGATTTTGTTCCAATTACAGTTTTGAGGAACTCACTCCCTTTGTTTTACTCACATTCGATTTTCCCATGATTTGGAAAATAAAGAAAAGAAGTTGATTCACAAAATACAATAACAATTTATGTTGTCACTTTTCAACTTCAGAAATAGCAACCAGCTTCCATACTATAAAATTCTTCTTCACAAGAAATTAATACAGCAATGATAGACACACGACCTTGCTCCCTAATGTAACTTGCACCCCAAGCACAGTGTATCTTGAGTGCCACCTAGTATTGATACTCCTTACACAATGTAATACATATGCACGTGGTTAAATAGATATCAGTGCCGTACCACGATATTTGAGGATGATACTAACTAAAGAATTCAATGACTAACCTGTCAACAAAAGAGTAATTCAGAGCTTCTGATAAAATTCTTCCCACAGTAGTTTTTCCAGATCCCATCATACCTGAATATAGAACGCCACCGAAATGGCTCATAGAGAATAACAAATAGTAGAATACAAAATAAGGGATTATGCAATTAACTGACCAACAAGATATATGCTGCGTCCATTTAGATGTGAGCTGACCTCTTGACCCTTTGTCTGAAATTCCCAGTTGTGACTTTAGAGGAGAAAAATTGGATAAAAAGAGAGAATAATGACAATGCCTATAAGCTCCACAGCCATACCTTTAACAGCCAATTTTCATCAAAACAAGCATCACAGTTTCTAGGTTCCAGGTTGGGAGCTAAGAAAAAAAATTGAGTTAGTATGTTAATTGCCAAAAATTAAACCCACAAACACATTTTAAACTTTTATAGATACATATGACCTAGGTTTCACTGAGCTTGGTCCAGATTCCAGGGGGAAAAAACAAAACAAAACAAAGAAAGTAGCTATAGAAGATTTTAATAATAAAACTTCGACATAGCATTAGATGTTGGAACTTTTAACTGCTTGCCGCAATTCATAACAAATTAAAAGTTAATTTTTCTTCCTTAGGAAAAAAATGTGACATCATTTATTTCCGTTGTATAAAAACAATGTGACATCATATGGTTCCCCATAGCAGCTTCTAGGCATTAGCAAACCAACATATTCCTATGAGAGAGTAGACTATCCTCAAGTGCTGTTATAATGTGAAATTTAATGGAAACGTTATTTATCCTCTTTGTCCGTATTCCTCAGATAAACTTACTGGATACGTCAGTCAGTTGTGCCAACTAAAGTTCTTTATATCACAAAAACACCCAAATATTAGCAATAATGTTATAGACTTACCCTGGGAACTCTTGTTAGAATGTGAAATTTCCAAACATTTTGCCTCCCATGATTTAGATGTTTGTTTCCATTGCAGATAATCACAGAGATTGGTCGTCTTACTTACTGGCAACAAGCTATTTGATCCCAACCATGTGCAGTATTGCAGTGACTGACCACAGATTGTCCCCATTGCTTCAATGCAGGAAGATTAAAAACAAAGGTTGGAAATAAGAACAAAGCCTCACAAAAAGCAGGTCTGAGATTGTTAAGTGTGTAACTGGGGGATTAAAAAGTTATTGACAGCTAGAGAGCTAACTATCTAACTCTTTTTTCAAGAAAACAGTAATAAACTAGCTTCTAGGCTGTCAGCTACTTAATCTCTCAGCTATACGCCTAACAGAAGAATTTTCTAATGCTTTGACCATTGTCCATGTGTCTCCATAATTCAGGTTTGTTAAATGGTTCCTGAGCCTATTTAGATTTTAAAATTGTTGAAGAGGCTGCCGTAATTTCTAATCAGCATATTCAGGGCTACCCTATGGATTAAGTTGTTAGAAAAATGAAGCTTTTTGGAATTATTTAAGCGGATCAGCAAAGAACTTATGGTCTTATCTCTATCCAAAAGGTCCCAAAGGGTCTGAATTAACTTAAACATTTTTTTGTCCCCAAAAAAAAAAATTGAGCATATTCAGTGTTGTTCAAATTTCTGGAGATAGGAACCTTGCTAACGGAGAATATGATCTAGAAGATCACATCAAGTTCAGTAGACAGAGACGCCCAATTTTTAAAAAAATGGATAAAGTCAATTGGCTTTATAGGGTAATTACAAGTCAAAGAGATTTGATCAATGATGACTTGAAGGAAAACCTGCTTAATTTCAGTGGAAGGTTACCATACAAATATTGTCAGTCTACACTTGATAGAATGACGTAAATTGACTCTTGAGTAGAAAAAGATCTTTCAGTTTCTGGAAGAGTTCATCTCCTTAAGTCAATTCTTCCTGGCCTTCAGGTATGCTGAGTCTGTTAAACTTGAATGCTGTTTTGTGGGGTAATGACCATGGAAGCAAATCTTTAGTCAAAATTGACCAGAATGACTGCCCCAGAAAAAATGCAAGGAGGGATGGACTGTATGGAGCATGAAAATTGGAATAAAGCTTCAGTTCTAACGTCTAACACATAGAGAGGGGATATATAATAATATACATTCACAATTTTCCTTTTTAATGACTCATTTTAACTCCAACTTACTGGAGAGAAGTAGGACTGAGTTATTTTGGATCTCTTTAGGGTGTAATTTGGCCATAGGGCAAATTATCTGCATCATCTTGACACTTGGCCTCATTAGTCCCATCTTTGTCTCCAGAATCGATCAAAATTTGAAAGCAGTGAAAGCCGATTATAAAATATATACATATATATATATATATATCGAACATCACTTGACCACACCCAAATAAGAAATCCAGACCCCCATTATGCAGAAGATATTTAGCTTAAAAGTTTTCATCAGAGATATCCAGAGTCCTACCAGCTCTTCTTATTCTTCACGCAAATCGAAAACTCAAGGCGTTAGTATAAAGCAGAAAGCTTGAGTGAAGCTGCAACAAGAGGAAAGAAAAAGAGAAAAGGGAGACAGAGGAAGAAGAAGAGGGAGACAAAGAACAAGAGGAAGAAGCCAAGATGGTACCAGAGGACACTGTCTTGTGAAATGTAGGCACTGCGAAGCTCAGGAAAGTTGCACAGTTGACATCGAATGGTTTGGTAGGTGGCGAAATGGATGCAAGCATGAGCATAGCGAGTACTCACGTTTGATTTTTTTTTTTTTTTTTCAATACTGAAATTTGTGCTTGTCAAAGTTAGAAGAGTCACAAATTATGTACTTTGATCCTTCAAGTTCTTGACCGGCAATTTTACAAAAGTCAAAGTTAGCGGGCTATTTTTTCATTGCTCAAGTATGCTTTTTTATCATATACAATTATATTTAAAACACAGTTCAATATTAAATATAAATATTTTTTTAATAAAAATTTAAATATTAATTTATTACATTGTCAAAAATTAACAATTTTACTAGGCTCCATCTTCATTAGTTTTGTCTTTGTTTTCTATTATAGAAAAAAAAATTTGCATTTTTAATTCTTTTTAATAAACAAAACTATAAAATTTAAGAAGTATTTTCTTACACTTTTTAAAATTATCTATCAACAAATTAGAGTTTATTTTCTTAAAACAAGCTCGATTCCTTCATATATTGAAGATTAATTATAAAGATATTTTAAATTTAAATTTTACATTTCAGACATTATTATATCTACCTTATTTTTTTTTAAATCATGTGAGTTAATTAAGATTTGTTTATACTTAAATATGAAAGGAGTACGTTGCCAAAATTAGAGATCACGTTATGCGATATTGGACACTTATTGTAGATCATGCTTTCAACGAAGTAAATAAATGTGACTAGGAGCTCACACGTCAAGTTTCTCACAAGATTTCTAACTACATTGTGACATCGTTTTCTTTTTGGTAATCTATATTTGACATAGTTAATCTCACGTAATGTTGAAATAATTTTAATTTTGAAAAAATTGTTTTAATAATATCATAGTTGAAATGCATACATTTGTTAAAAAAAAATATATAACCTTTTTGATATAGTTTAGGGGCTTTTACACATATAGCTCATATTATAAGACTAAGTAAAAGAAATAGCATATCCTTTTTTAAATGTTAAAAATAACTTTTTTAATATTTAGTTAATATTTAATTTATAAAACTGTCCTTTTAAAATTATAACACTATGCTTTTTGCAAATAGTAGAAGAGACTCAAAACGCAAGAGATCATGTGAATGAGAGAGACAAACACGAACTACAGTCACAATGGAAGAAACAACTTGAAGATGGAAGAAAGCAGAGTAGTGTGAGTGAGCCACAACCACAATGGCGAGAGACAAACATGAGGCGACAGACATCAACCGTACTTGATAGAATGAAGCACGCTGGCAGAAAAATGGAGCTACAAATTCATGATTTTTTTATCTTATTAATTTAAGTATTTGATTCTCTGTAATAAATTAAGAGTTTAAAATTTTTTGTGGACTATCTTTGATCCATTTTGGGTAAATGATTATGTGTTTTTTGTATTACTGATATGTAATACTATATTATTGATATACTATTATATATCAATGATAAACAAATTTATATCTAATTGTCTAGTTATGTTGATCTGTAATAGTATATTAGTGATACACTATTATATATTACTGAGATATAAATCATATCAGTTAAAATTTATCAACTTGTTTATCATTGATATATAGCCGTATAGCAACAATGTAGTGTCACATATCAGTAACACGAAAAATATATGATCATTTGTCCAAAACAAATCAAACACAGTCTACAAAAAATTTAATGTTATTAAGAGATGTGAAGATAGTAAAAATTCAATGACAGATAATAAATCCAAGCCTAGTCTTCTACTTCCAAAAATGAAAAACTAAGCCAACTTCAACTAGATAATAAACAAAGTTCGGCAATGTGAAATCCTAAAAATTTTCTCTCAATCATTATTTTTATCTGAGAAAATCTTATATTTTATTTTAAATTGTTAGATGCATATAATATGAAATTCTAAATCATGGACTGGTTATGCGGGATATTTTTTTTTCTATTTTGGATATATAGTGCTGAAAATTTTATATTTGTTGAGGGGAGTTTTTGTTGGGCAAAGAAGGAACATCACATTCTAATTAAATTTGTAAAGGGCTGTGCTCGAAATTTTTATGAACTCTATTTAGAATTTTTGAGGCCTATATATTTTAAGGCCACTGTGTCAATTTTCTTTATAGTTTAATGCTTTTATTGAAGTATTAATTTATCTTGTTGAGACTTTTCTTAATACATTTAATTTTGAAACTAAATGAGTTATCATCCTAAGGTTTAGTTAAATCCCTATTAGAATTTATAAGTGAGGTAAAAAAAATTCCATTAAAAAAATTTGTCAACATTTAGTATCTAACTGTACTTCAAACAAGATTGACTCTAATTAAAATGTGCAATAAAAACAGTTATCATCATCATCAATATCAATATCTTCACAAAAATTTAAAAAAAAATTCGAGATTAATAAAACATTTTTAACTCATTTTCATTCAAATTTCTTACATATTTGTCTTTAAATAAAAATAAAAAAAGGCTTTTGCAGATATAATCTATATTATATGACTAAACCAAACAAACAGCATAAAATTTATTATATTTTATATTATAACTGATTTATTATATTTGTCAATAACATATCATTGTATATCAATAATAAATCTTTTGTATATCAATATGAACCGGTCATACTTTTAAAATTTCAAAAATTTGATCCATACTTTTTAGATACAAGAGTTTTTTAGCCGATGAGCTAATTTATCAAATAAAAAAATAAGGGATAAAGAAACTTTCAATCCCTCAAACTTGATTCAATTATCGATTTTGTACCTCACATTTAATTTTGATCAATTTAGTCATTTATATTTTCATAAATTATTTTATCAATCTTATAAGTTTTAACACACAAATCAACTATTAAAGTAATTTATTGTGTAAAATATATTGATGTTTTGACATGTATATGTATCTAAATGAGAACAAATTAACTCTTAAATTAATTTAAGGGATAAAAAAACTTTCAATCCCTCAAATTTGATTTAATTATCAATCTGGTCCCTCATGTTTAATTTTGATCAATTTGGTCATTTATGTTTTCATAAATTATTATATTAGTCCTGTATGTTTTAAAACACAAATTAACTATTAAAGTAATCTATTTTATAAAGTATGTTGATAATTTTACATATATATGTATCTAAATGAGAACAAATTAGCCCTTAACTTAATTTAATTTTTATCAATTTAATCTTTTATGTTGTGTTTTGTTCAATAACTACACTTTTTTTTATTAATCTATATGGCCAACATTAATATTTCCTTATTCATGTTAGTAAATTTTAACTGTATTATCTCTTTTTTAAACAATAAAGACCAATTAATAATTAAAGTAAATTTAATAGATGAAATTGATAAAAATTAAACTTTGAAGACCAAATTAATAAATGAGGTGAGCTTGAGAGACTAAAAGTTTCATTATCTTAAAAAATAATTATATTCTAAATATGATTTTTTTTATGAAAGTTAAAAGAAAAATTATAGTAACAATAATAGCTGCCCACTCGCTTGCTAGTCCCGCGGACAAGAGAATGTGTCCTCATGTATGGGTTTCTATTCATCCACTATTTTTTTTTTTTTTTCAGTACAAGGCTATGGGATATTCGTACAGAAAGAATAGAAATTAGGTCACATTAGATTAGATTTCATGAGGAATTGATGACCTGAAAGCCGATAATTAAAAATAATAATATTAAAGGTTTCTTATGAGATTTGGTGAGCAACCATTCACCTACTTCTTTTAGTTGCTATTTTATCTTAGAAAAAATAATAATAAAATTCTTTTAAAATATATAAATAATAATTTAATTCCTGAAAATATCATAATTTCTTAAAAGTTTCTAAAAATTTTTTTTATCATTAATAAATTCATATAAATTATTAAATTATTCTTGTTGAAAGTAAAAAAATTATAAATATTTAAACAAAACTTGTGAATAATTTATTTTTAATGAAAAAATTTAATAAGTTATATAAATTTATTAATAATAAAAAAGTTTTTGAAGATTTTTAAAAAATTATAATATTTTAAAAGACTGAATTATTATTTATATATTTTAAAAAAATTATTATTATTTTTTCTTCATCTTATGATGCTGAACTGACTCGAATTGGTGTTGGTTGACTTTGTATTTGTGCTTTTGGGCCTTTTTACTTTTTATTATTGATATATATATATATATATATATTTTTTTTCCCACTCTTGGCGGGGAAATAAAAAACATGGTAGCAGCCATTGCATGGGGGGGAATAAAGGAATATCTGTAGTAGAGGTGTTCACAGGACGGGACGGGATCGGGACACTCCCATCCCGTGTCCCGTCCCAAAAAAAAGATCGAGACTGAATTTTGATCCCGTGTCCCGTCCCGTCCTGAAAGTCGTCCCATCTCGTTAAGAGTCGGGACGGGACCGGGACAAAATCAAGACGTCCCGCAGTCCCGATAAATGTAATAATATCGAAAAAAGATCTGGATAATAACGTTAATTAAAATTTTAAATCATATAATTTATTAAATTTAAAATCAAAACAACACAAGTACATAAATAACAATAATCTAAAATTAATTATTGAATTATAATAATCACAACTACACATTATAATAATAAATATAAATGATCTTTATGTTATAAGATTAGTAACAATAGGCAAGTCAAACATAACATCATATCATTGTTCTTTTACTTTAGTGAAGATGTACTAAGCTAATTACTCTTCTAAAAATAAGCAAAAAATAAGTTGTAAATAAAAGTTATTAAAT